CCAATGTGAATTTATAATACAATCCTCTAAAAAAAACCCATGCATTTTCTCGTATAATGATAAAACACAATTGAGTTGAGCAAATGACAAGGGAAAATGTAACGTCCAATACCAACAGAGAATCAATTTGCTTTCTTGTCAATCCATTCAATTTGCTTCTTACTTTATTGCTATATGGTAGATCGTGTAAACTTCACCCCATTCTCTCCGAAATTACCCACAGATGAGCAAAAAAATAAATTTATTCAGATAATTAATTGACAATCAAATTATGATATTCAATGGAGAATCAAAATCACGTTGGGAAAGCAAGATCGCCTGAGCTTACTGATTGGATACAAGCAAGGAGCCAATCAGATGCCCCTATCTTTCTCTCGCGTAATCTACACCTGGACATTGTGCACTATGTGCAGATTCGGTTTACTATCTGAGGTCTAATACACACGGAGGAGGACTCAAAAGGAGTTTCTAAGTGCCAAAAACACAGGAGGATACAGAACTAGGTCCCAAAAACTCAGTCGGTTTTCCAAAATAATGTTACAAATAGTGTTATATGGAAGAGATATGATTTAAACAGAGAAAGTGATGCACATTTGTAAAGTTTTGAAATGAAAGCCAATCCTAGGAGTAGACATCGAAAATAAAAATGTTGTGCATCAGAAGTGAGTGGAACAGTACCAAGAAACTTTGGTTTTGAACAAAGATGGAACTCAATAGGAACAAAACAAGCAGCACCTACATATTTGCTAAATTAGAAAGATTGTGAGGGGCCCACCCACCCACTTAAAGGCAATCGGCGGAAATAAAAGTGGCTTAACCCATCTTCCAATCAATATCGGCCAGTAATGAGCGTGTGGGTGGAGAGTGATCAGTACTATGGTTTCTTAATTATTCGGTATAGACGGTTCTATTTCCAAGACGTCATTTTCAAAAAACCTTTTCTGAAAACTCTCAATTTTTTTTGAATTTCAATTAGCTCCTTTTGGAAAGGGCCATGAAAATGCAGAGGGGCCTGATTTGGTTAATGGGCCGCAGGTTGCCCTTCTCTATGACATAGACTGTAGGGACTCACACTGGTAACAAAATACTTCGTGCAGACCAAGAATATTCCAAAAACGACAATAAAGGCATATGGGCACAAAACCGGTCTACAGAAAACAATATTTCCTATACAGGAGGTCAAGTGTTTAATTAAAGAACAATGCACAGTCTGAATACATTTATGAGTCAATGATAATTGAAATTTGATTACGTAAACTAGACTACCAATCTTCCAGTCAAAGAGAAGACCTTCTATGCTAGATTTCATCCTTTTGGTAAGGATTTCATCCAAATTAAATTAAGTTGCTTACCTCGGTTTTGAAAGAAGAAAGGTTATCGAAGTCTGTTTTGCAAGAAGAGTGTAAAGAGTTTCAAAGTTTGAGAATGTTCGGGAAATAGGCAAATAGATTTGGAAAGAATGAGCATAGGAAGAGCTTCTGATGTTTCGGGCATGACTCGGGGAACCAGGGATAGCATCCCTGACCTTCTTGGACCAATCCCATTGGTAGTATCTGTAAATAATAGACCTTTCCCCAAATTACGTCATGGCGCAATGCATTCTGGTACTTGTAGTTAAACCCGCGAATATTTGTTTATGTTTTGTACGGCGATCAGGCGAAGTTCTGTTATTATTCAAAGCTGTTTGCTCAAATTATCAAACAAATAATGGAAAATACGGCGGAATGTACCGAACAGCACATCCCTAGTTTTTTTGAAAGCTCTTGCTTGGGAAACTGTTATTTCTTGTGAAGGCCAAGGTTTGTCCTTCAATTAAAAGCATATAGTAATAATGAAGATCTGTTTCCAATCTGATGGGAAAATATCCAGCACCCTGCTAAGAATGATGAATTTCTTCGTTTATACTGCAGCAATTTGTCTTGAGCTCTTCTTGTGCTGACAGATAATCCTTGCCCCCCCCTCCCCCCCCCCCAAAAAAAGAAGTGGTTATATCTATGCTAACACCATTTGGCAAATCTTTTTAAGATCAAAGCCTTTAACAAGTTTAAGATCTTAGTCATCAAGCAGTGTATGACTTTGCAGTCAGATGTAGTATAATCTTGTAAATTGGTTTGAAATTTAAAAGTGGATAGCCCTTGTAAATGGTTTTAAAGCAAGCTGTAGTACAACTGCTGGTTCAAAATTTTTTTTGAAACAGTTTTCGTGCATCCAATTTTGAACATTTGTCCACGTTTTTCCACATAATGGCACAAGCGTAACTGGCAACTCAGAGCCCCTTCCGAAATCAAAACTACATAATACTAGATAGAAGCATTATCCCCTTGGTCCCATATCCAGAGGGGGGAAAAGTATCGAAACCTGGGAAAGTAGTTCCCAGAAATTTTTCTGGATGAAAATATTAGCAGAAAGTTTCACAGAAATGTTTTGAAGTGTTAAAGTAAACGTAAAAATCTGGTGACATGAGTTAAGTCAAATCAGCATTTAATATTATTTCAACTTGCCTGTGAGCAGCTAAATATGAGCTGCCAATGGACTGTAGGGCATAGTCTCTTTCCACTGGAAAGAAATTCTTTGTGCACATTATTTACATTCACCATCTCACAGAAATCTCAACCACTCACCATCAAATATTTTTTTGGCAGCTGAGATTTTAGACAAACCATTGTTTAGACTGAGATTAATATAGGGACTGGAATCTACTTTCACAGAAATTATTTCTTGTACTATGGTGTGAGGAGCATTGATCATAAGTTAATATGCTTGGTTTAAGTAATTTGGTGCATGTTAGGACTCCATTTCAACCATATATTTCTTCACACTTGTCAAAGATTAGGCTGTGTTAAGCCTTCTCCATAAAATGCACCATACAGTTAAAATGATTCTTCTGAAACTATGTTTGGAAATTATTGCCTTCTGATTTTGGCTTTTCCATCACGACGATTGACTAAATGCATCAATTTCTGGCTAAAGTTGATTTTCCTCTTATGTGCATCTATGCATTAAGTAAAGCCATATCTAATATGTTGAGTTAGGCCTAATCAGAGTCAGTTTCATATAAACGTCTTAAATTTCTTCAGCTAAATACAGTATTGTAGGCACAAACAGAAAGTTAATTTGTCTACCCCTTGAAATCTTGCAGAAAGTTTTTAGCCAGATACTTGGGTTCTCAGAAAGAAAATTTTTTTCCACCTCTACCCATATCTTTCATTTTTCCGTTCGTTTGGTCTAGGCCTTATCACATCGTTGCTCGCTGTCAAATTGCCGTCGGAACGACTTTTTGCAGCGCTGGTTTCCAGGCAAAAGCTTTGTGAAAACCTTGGAATGTGAATGACGTAATTAGGGGAAAGGTCTATTGATAGTTCAGCAACACAACGCCGAAAAAGTTGGAGAGACTTTGAGTTAGGTTTGTTGATTGGGGAACTGTCTAAGATTGTTTTCGATTCAACTCACGATACATGAGTTTCAAGCAAAACAATTTGAAAGTAGCACAGAAAGGCTGTAATCACATGCTAAACAACTTTCAACTGGTGTCAAAGGAATAAATAAACATTTTCGGCTTCAAAATCTAGGTATTGTACAAACTGGGCAAAGATGAATAATAAGAGCTGCATAAAAAGCTATTATTTAAATGCATGGTCCGGTTCTAAAAAGTTCGGATAGTTACTTCATGTTGAGAAGGGTCAATCGCAAAAAAGGCCAGAGCGGGAAAATTTCCTTGTGTGCTTTAGGTTGGCCATACATCCGTTGGGCCGAACCATGTGTTCAAAATTGTGCGCTAAACGGAAGATTACACCCTATTTGATCTATCAAACGTCCTCTCTCGCTCATTAACGCCCATCTTAACTAAACACCCTCTTAAATCCAAATTAAATAAACACTCATACTTCTATAAACGCCCAAGGCTCTTATTGGAAATATTGCAAAAAATATAAATTTCGCGCCTTTATCGAAAAAATTTTATCATAAAGTGATTTTGATGTTGTGTTTTGTTATTGTCGACCAATGGGTTCACATAATAAATAAATAAAATAAATTGTTTCAAAAAGGAAAATAAATTGTTTCAGAGAGGAAAATAAATTGTTTCAAAGAGGAAAATAAATTTTTTCAGAGAGGAAAATAAGCCGTGTAGGATACGGAAAACTAAAAACAGTCGAATCTTGCGATGAAAACGTTAAAGAGGATCTATTTGAAAAAGCTTATTCCGATTTGGAGCAGAATCTAACAACTAGAATTTACTCAGATAAAGAGGAGGAGGAGATTTCAACAACTGATAATATTCTATACTTTTCAGATTTAGCGTCGATTGATTTAAAAATATATTGTAAAAAGTTTAAATATATTGCAAATTCCTCTCTAATAAAAGCTCCTATACAGTATTCGCCCCCCCCTCTCTAAAAGCCAAAAATTTAAAGTTGCCTTAATAAGACTGTAAATAAACTTATTTTTACAGTTTTATAAATAGGGCTTTGCATACGTTGTCTCCTCCGGTGCAGGCCTGACCACGAGACTTTTAGCAGTGGAGCAGTAAACAGCTCTCCTAGTAATTTCAAGATGGTCTATTTGTAAAAAAGAATACAAACAAAGGAAAAATTATTTTCTTTCCAAGGCGAGCAATTCGCTTTTCAGAGCAATTTAGGAGAGCAATCTGCAGCTCCTCCCCATCATTTGTTGCGAGCCTGGAGGGTAGCAAAAGCTATGGATCTCCTCAAATTACTAGGCCTGCTTCGGTGAACGATGTTTTTTGTCATACTTTGCATTTAGGCCAAGTGCTTGCAAGTAAATACTGCTTAATACAAAAACGCCAAGGATGGTTAGTAAATTGACAAAGTGGAGATCAACCTAGCCTATAAAAACAGCGTGGACGTCACATAGAATGTATGCAAGAAAACATCTTAAAGTTATTGGATTATCTTATCAGTGCTTATACCGTTTCCAAGGTGAGGTAATACCATTAACAGCAAGCTATAGATAAAATTTGTGACGGAAAAAGGTAGACTTACCTGAGCTTGTCAGGTCAAATCTCCTCAGGTGCAAGTAAAAACATCAGGATCTACTGCAAACTGCTTAACCATATCGGCCTCCAAAAAGTGCATTTTCCCTGGAATAACTAGGGAATGGATGGGTGGACCAAGATCGTAATCTTTGATCTGAGACATCGTTCCAGCTATTATCTTTTGCGAATCCCAACCCACACGTGCAAGTCCGATGCATAAGGTGTCCGGACTGATATCTGTAAATGGTGAATGGTCCAACATTAAGTGCTACGGCAAATATCTGTTACATTCTCTTTTCAAAGTATTGGTCAAGAATAAAGGCCCCGTTCACATTTCTCCGTTCTCATATGAAAACTGAGAAAAACTTGCCCGTTTTTTCCTTGTGCTCACACTTCTCTGCTACGAAGACAGAGTCAATTTGCAATCGCTGATTGATAGATGTATTTGGCCGCTTAACTATTTGTCGATCGCCTTTAATAGGATATTTCATATCATTGCTCACCTGTTTTATTGGTAGAGTTCCTTTTTTCTGATATAGTCAATAGCTGTTTAATTGCATCTGCACACGCAAGAAATCTTGGAGGTTCGTAGATTTTCTTTCGTCTAGGAAAGTCATTAGTGAAAAAAAATCATTAACCTTGTGGTTTCCAGAAAGGTGATTCACTAAAGGTGTTTTAGTTGTAATATTGTGATATAGTGAAGGATACAGTAAAACTCTATTTGGATCGCGGGGCACCGGGAAACATGACGAGAAAGCATCATACAGCAGCTTGAGCACCCCAATCATGAATATATTTGAGTACCCCCTACCTGGGCCTTCTTAACACGACGCTCTCCAAATTGACTGCATTGTAAATTTACTGTATTGGCAGGGTTCGGAGCACGAGGCGGGGAGAGATGTAATCTCCTTCGAGTATCATAAATATCAAATCTTGCAGTTTACCGAGTGTCATTTCGTTTTTAGAGAAAATTTGTCTGCCTAGTCGAAAAAAATTCTGGGAAACTGAATTTATCAAATCAAGTATTGGAACCCAGGTTGTGGCTGTGGCTCTATCATATACACATAGATTTTAGGCTTATAATAACCACATTCAGCTCTCATTTGCTTGTTTACTATTAAACATTTGAAAAAGAAATTGAAGAAAACTGTTATTGTTTTAGTGAGAATAAGAACTTACTTCATCATGTTTTCAACACTTTGTTCTTTCATTTTTATGTCTATAATTGACAAAAAAATTTATTAGTTTTCTGTATCATATAAAAGTATGATCAAAGAGAAAATCTAAACAATTTTTCTGAATATCGAAATCGAGGAAAATTTTATGAACAGTTTGGCAACTGGGAAAAGTTGGAACTGATGTGACCACAAATAAAATGGGGTATAAAATATTAGATATAATTATTATAATAAAAACAGCAATACTAATATAAACTTTGCAATTTATGTAAGAGGCAAAAGTATGCATTCACATGGCAATTGCTGTTCTATCAACTTTCAATTAAGACTGTGCATGCATACCTAGAAGACAAAGTGTATGAAGTCCCCTTTCTTTGTTAGCAACAATCTTATCATAGAAACTTTCTGGCGTCCACTCATCTTCCCACATCACGATGGATACAGTTTCTCCAAAACTATAGAGCTATAAGGAAAATATTGCTCCTATATAAATGTGTGCACAAAGTAAAAAAATATATAGCTAAACAGATCGCAAATGATCTCAAATAGAGTGGTTTAGCTGAGAAAGTAAGCAAACGATGTCAAATATTGAGCTGAGAAGGTAAGGAAAAAACGACTAGAAAGCATATCTCAAGTGTTCTAGCAGTGGCGGAATTTGTGCGGATGTGGGGGGACGATCGAATTTTTGCGGACAAAAATTTTCTCGTCGCCAACCATGCTGGCGGCTTTCACTAAACCCCTGAGCAATATAAACATTTTGCCTCCTCACTTGCAATGAAGTTTCCCCCGGCTCTTTCAATGGTATCAATGTTCTGATCTCAGCTGCCCGCTCAAACAATCAATGTACCTTGCTGCTCAACCCATGATTGGGAAAACATCGACCTTTGTCATGCTCAAATTGCAATTATTACATGAAAAGAACAACTTAGCAATTTCATAGAGTCCCCCTCCCCCTGTTCAAATTTTACGACTAGATTCCTGCTAGAAACGCGAGCAAAGATTTTGCTGGTTTAATAAGTGTCTTTGCCCCCATCCCCCAGAACAAATGTTCAATTTCCGCCACTGTGTTATAGAAAATTCCCGGGGAAACAAGACAAAGTTTCTGATAAAAATGTTATCTTTAAAAAATGCCAATGGCAGAGGCGTATGATATTGCTACTTTATGAGAAGCTGGTGCATCACAAAATGCTTACCTTGTCTCAGTCTCACCTAGGTGCCTGGGGAGGGCCGGGCATGCAATCAGGCACCTTAAGATGAGTGGCCTGCTTTAAGGATTTCACACACTATCAGGGATGGATTCACTGGTGGAGTAGGGGGTACGACACCCCCCAATATTTTGTGTCCTTCGGTAAATTTTGCTTTGCTTTGGTAAAATACATTTTTTGATGGTCAGTAGTAACAAGAAAATGCAAAATTTATATTGATCTTCTTGTCTGCTTTAACCGGTAGTTAAACAATGACTTTTTAAAAAAGGGCCCCCAATCATTTTCAAGTCACCCGAAGGTTGTGGCCCCAAAATCCAATAATTTGTTAACGCCCCCCCCCCCCCTTAATTCTTTGCTGCTTAAATCCTTCCCTGCACATTATGTCACCCACAGCATTGAAAAGCTTACAGTAAAATGTATTCACCTGAAGGCCGCAACAGCCAGCTGCATTAAGTATAGAAGCGTTATGTATAACTTTGTATTGAATACCCCTCTCTTTAGCTCGAATAATAAGGTCAGTATGTGTAGTTGCTCTGAAAAAAACAATGCATTGTCATCTTAAATGTGTCTCCATATCAAAGGTCCATTTTTATACTGATACTACCAATGCATCTGACTTTAAGCAATTTTCAAGCAATATAATTTGATTAAACAGGTGTCTGCTTTTGCTCAAACATGCATTTTAAAGCAATACCACAAGGGCTTTAAGATATAAACCCCAATTTTTTCAGTTCATTTAGGCTGTAATGTATGCATTAAATAACAACACTTTGAATTTATCCATTAAGATAAAAATATGTGTTGTTTATATGTTAAACTTACCCAAATGGGTCCCCTACTACAAGAAAAGCAACATCTTTGGTTTCTGTATCCTGGAGAATTGACTCTACAACACAAAAAGAAAATCAACAATTAACAAAATTTGCAAATTATCTTAAAAACAGGCAAAAAGTAACATACTTTCTGCTGGGTTTCATGAAGCCAGAATAACTGAGACAGTGTAAGGCACACCACGTTAATCTGTGCGAGCTGCACTCACAGGCAAAAAAGTTCATTCTCAGGAATTTCTGCAGGCACATTTCTGAATCGACTTTTATTTACCTTAATTATATTACAGTCCTGCTTTCTTTATATATCTTTCCTGATGAAAATGAACAGTCAAATAGAATAGAAAAGGTAGTAGGTGCAAGGACTACCAAAATGACAAACTGACCCAGTGGTCTCTTGATGGAAGAGATCACTGGCAATTATTGTATTGCTTCTTCTCAGAGTATTATGTAATGACCTGTAAAACTCATTCCTGTATAGTAGGCTATAGAAAGCACACTCCTTTAAGCTTAAGTTGTCAAGCTTTTGAACAGCTTAGGTTTCTGACTTAATGGAGCAAGATTTCAAGGTACACATCCAAAGAATTCCCCAAAAACAAACATTTTGGACAACTTGCAACATCGCAAGCAAACCTCTACATCTTCAATTTTTGGAGGGAAAGCATTTTCAAAGCAAAATAATCAAATCTTGCAAGTATGATAAGCCCAAAGCTAAAAAACGAGTATCCTTTTAAGATACTATGTTGAATAAGTCATTTTCAGCAAAAGTTATTGGGAATAGAGACATTCGTTTGCTATTTTTCAAAACTTTGAAATGAGAAAAACCCTGTGTAATGTCAAAATTCGTGCAACCTTTGCCAAAGAAGCAAAAACAAAATCCTAAAATTAAAAAACCTTGAAAGAAGATGTTGTTAACAGAACTGCTCCATCTAAAATGAAATGCTCAAGGTACCAGAAAGCATTTTTCCTGAAGATGTTTTTTTGATGAAATCGATAGTAATGATAGGGCTACTTGACAACCCAAAACAACCTGTAAATTATAAATGTTCCTAGAAGTGGCCAAAATAAAAACTAGAGTACCTGCATCTTGCTCTACTAAGGTTCTATCTGCTAATATAATCTCTCTTCCATAGTACTTTTCCTGAAAAGGAAAATCAAGTGTATGCAAAAGCTAAATAATTTTTAATAGTTAGATTGATAAAGTTTAATTCAAGCAATGCTTTAATTTCATAAGTGTGATTTGGGCAATTTTCTAACTCCTTTGAAATTCAAACAAAATATTGACAAATTTAGAGAGTTGAAGCATTCACTTCTCAGCATAAAGCCAGAGGCAAATATCAGATTAATTTTGAGAAATCAAGATAGTTGTTAAAATCATTGAAGAAAGACATGAAACCAAATTGAAAAAGGGTTAAGTTTGGTAGTCCTTCAAATTGCATGCAAAAGAGGTAATGTTTCTAGTTTACAATATTCAACTTTTTTTATAGTGCAATTTTTCATTCTGGGTAAAAATTGAATTTTAAAGCTATCTCATTTAAAGAGCTTATGTGACATTTGAATTATTTTCAAAGATTACCAAAACCAACAATTACAGCCAACTACAACACAGAGAATCAAGAAATTCCAGGGTTTTGCATTTTTCAAAATTCAATCAATTATTTTACTATTTTCCTTTGATTATTGAAACTTGATAATCATAATCAGTGGAAAACATATGCCAATCATTATTTAGTTATGTAAACAGATTGGATTTTTAAGTCCAATATTATTAGCAAAAAGAAAGATCACATTATTCTAAGATCCACTTCTATTTCAAAACTGGAAATCGCAGCTTCTGTCAAAGCTCTATTGAGCCCTTGGGGGGGGGGCTTTTTTATTTTTTCAGTCCTAGTGGGGGGGGCTTAAAAGAGAGGGGGCATATTAAAGAGAAGGGGCTTATTAAAAATTTGAAGTGAAAAAAGTTTTGAAAATACCCTTGGTCATTTTTGTTATGAAAAAGGCATACAAATGTTTTCAAAAAACTTTGCTAGCAGCTTCGAAAGTTGAATCAATCAATCATAAGGTCCTCATTTTCATCAACATCGCCATGATAAATTGATAACCCTTGGAAATCTTCAAAACAAAACAACTGACTACTAAGGGGGCTTAATAGAGAGGGGGCTTAAAAGAGAGGGGGCTTAATAGAGAGGGGGGCTTGATAGAGAGGGGGGCTTAATTGAAAGGGATGGCTTGATAGAGAGGGGGCTTAATAGAGCTTTTACGGTACATGATATAGATGTGGTGTGGTCTCAAAATAGAGAGGGGCAGGGGCAAAGCAAAAGTATTTGAATGCCCGGTGCGAATGGATTTAAATTCTTTTTCACCTTTAATAATTTAATATAAGACTTTAAAATAGATTACACACACTCGCAACTAGCAAATTATGTTAATTCGTGAGTTGGGTAATCTATGACAACACAAATCTCCGCCCGGCGAAAATGAAAAACTTACAAGCTCCTCTTTTCCAACAGTTAGTATTGAAGTATATGCCTCAAGATACACCCTCTCTGCGCTTTTCACAATTTCAAGCCCCTTTACGGTTATATCTTTTGCATCGCCAAGGCCTAACCCAATTAAGTATAACATCTTTTCAGATCGATCTATGCAAAGTACGAATCCCCGATTAGGGAAAACCTCGTGCAAGGCTTCAATGTTTGGATCTCGGCTTCAGTATGAGGTCAGTTGAACAGGACAGTGAAAATGGCCACTGATTCTGGACACAGTTCACCAGATCTTGAAGTTGCTGCATTATTCAACAGTTCTCTTCCAAGTATGTTCGTAGTTATTAGAAAGAAGAGATAACAGGAATGATATTGAATGGAGTAATACCAAAAAACAATATCTAGCAAACAGTAACAGACAATAAATGGAACTACGACTTCAATGTAGTGGAGTTATTATTGAGATGCTTAACTTTTTTTGGTGGAGACTTCTCCCTCCTGTCATGATATGTCCATTATTTTTTCCTTTTAAAAACAGTCAAGTCATAACTACCAATTACTTTAAACTTTGTAAAAGTACTAAATATTATGCAAATTTAAAAGGTTTATTTCATTGACTTATGACTTTGAAAGAACCACACGAAAAACCCAAGTACCACTGGAAACTTTGTCGCGCGCCCGTGATATATTGCCCCGCACACTCAGATTTTCCATCCGCGCACTTTTGCATATTGGCCGTTATTAACAATACAAATTTCTTAAAAGTGTGTGATTTCAGGCCAGTCAGGCGCGTGAAATTGCCCGCGCAAGAAACAAAGCTTCAGTCTGGCACAAGTAGTGTAAGGGCTCTTCAAACATGCCCACTCGTAGGATATTTTTCCGAAACATTCCTCTAAGCCCCTTGATCGCTCTTTTCTAGAGTAGTTTTTGCTTGAGTCTTTGTATTGCTGGTCATTGTTGGCCATTTCTAATGGATTTTTTAGAAGCCGTGGTATTTTTATGAAATAACATGACAGAAAAATTTATAAAGTTTGGTTTAATAATGTTTTACAGGTAAGAAAAATAACAACACCAGTAGCTCATTGCCAGGAAAGCAATCACTCAAAGCTGAAGAAAGCAAACCTAATGGTATGACTATTCATCTGTGTCATATTGGTAACAGAAAACAAAGCAAAATGAAGCATTTGATATCAGCTCCTTAACAATAAGGATGGATGTTATTAACTAAAGCTTTAGCCTATACACTAAAGTCCTGAAAAAATAGGAGAGGGGTTAAAAGTAATGTTTTAACTTAATGTTTTCATCATTTATCTTATGGGATTGAAATAAAGCAGGTAGGTCTTCAGAAATGAATGAGGTGTTGGGCTTTTATAACCAACCTAAGAAGAGGTATCTTTTCTGCTAGAGTGCTAGGTACTCTCTTAGTTCAACACTGCTGTGACCCTTCATTGGTAATTTGTGACATGTGTAGAACCTTTCGTTTATTTCTAAGAGCCAAATAAACCTGCAGGTGCAGTTTCTGTGTTAGCAGAAGTCATGAAAATGCCAGACATCAAGAGTGAAACTAACCATCTTCTCTAAAGACAGTGTTGGCTAAAAGCTTGACACAGCAACTGACCAATAAAAAAGCCCTTGAAAGTCTCCCTGAAATGGAGAAAGGGGATTTCAAAAATTTACCAAAAATTTCAGCCAGCACTGTATTAGATTTCAACAGCTTGTTTGTTTTGCAACTTTATAAACAAAATTAATCTTAGCAAATTAATATGACACCAAAACTTTATTTTATATATTACAAGACGCTGTGGTCCTTTGAGTTCTTTTAGCCCTAAATGATTCTTGATTGTATTCACGATTTTTGAAAATCAAGATTGTTGATATTTTACCATTTTTCCCCAGATACCAGTCTACACTGCTATGCAGGTAATGGCGACATTGCAAACATCAAACTTCTGATAGCTAATGGTAGGTATAATGAATATACTGACTTCATTAAAAAAATTTGGTATAAAATTTGGGCAAAGTGAAGATAGGTTTAGTAGGTGCTGTCAAAACCAGAAAAAAGAAAGTAAGCCAAATCTATGTTACAAAGAGAAGTGAAGACCAACAAATTTACAGCAAATTTTTCAGTGTGTATTGAACTGTACTGGAAAACTAAAGATTAAATCTGGAGATTTTTAGCAAGTATGATGTATATCTTTGCCATGCGGAACTCCATGAATTTTTTACAGTATCAGTGAATTTCAGGGCAAAATAGTAGTCTATGGTAATAAAGCTCCCTCATTTTTAATTTAAGGTGCAGATGTGAATGCTGTTGATGAGTCAGGTAATACCCCATTATCATGGGCGGCGTATCATAGGCAGGTAGGAATGCTTTTGTATTTTTATCCTTTATATTGATATTTCATTGCAGTGCTACTACCTTGTAATACTACATTAAAGTGTAAAACATTCTGACGGAAATGTTTCGTTAAAACAATTTCAGGCAAAAAATTTTCTGACTAATTTTTGAAAAGTTCGGACATAAACTTTTATACACTTTTTGTATGATTCCAAAATGTGTGCTAAAATCAACTGTAATTTCACATTAATCAAGCATAGGTAACTTAAACTATTAATATAGGTTTAATAAGAAAGCTGCGGATGACTAGCATCACAAAGTTTAAAGCTGCATCATAGCCTTTACACACTTGATGGGGAAAAAGTAACAAAAAAGGCCTACATTATTAGTAATTTGGAGACATAACAAATATGATATTCGAATATTTGAATTTTTGCAAAAGGAATATTACAGAGGAAAACCGGCTTTAAAAAGAAGCCACATTTTTAAGAGGATCCCCTCAATCTTATTCACTGGCGATGCCAGTAACTAGGCTCTGAGGGGGGGGCTGTTCACATGGCAAAACGTTTTACACCACACCCTTTATACTGCTAGAAAATATAACTTTTGTTTGCATAAAATTAGTTTCAAAATCATGGGGTTACATCTGCCAAATATTACCCCTCTCTAACATTTTCACATCGAAGTTAGACAAAATGCAAAATTGATGTCCCCCCAGCCCCCCTCCTCCCTGCTGTGCCGTTATTTATTGACCTCATTATCTTAAATACCATCATATAGACTGGGTTAAAGACATGAGATAAACTGTTGAATAAGAGCAAATATAATATGAAGAACTTGACAAGCGATCATAATTAAACAAAGTCATCTTGTACTCAGATGATTTTAACACCATCTATTTCTTCGGGTTCAATGTAGTCAACAGACTTTCTTAGATCTCAAATATCTTGGATTTCTGAACAGTCAGGAAAACATCACAGCCCCACGGCCACTGGCCAGAGGAAGGTAGTAGAAACAAAGAGGAAATTGAAGAAGGTAGCCAAAAATTTGGAAAATTGAGGAGGTTGAAAAAGTATATTTTGAAATTCTAATTTCAATTATATATTGAAATCATAACACGCTTTTGTTATTAATTGATATAAGAAAATGAATTTTAATCTGCCTTAAAAATTCTATAAAAGCTACAAAGCAAGCTACAAATTATTAAAAATGGTTTAGAAAAACAGAGTTGCCATGAGAGTGGATCAGGGGATCAAGTCTGGTTGAGCAGCCCAATTTCCTCACAACCCCCATTTTAAACTCATTAAATATTTAGTAAAGGTTTTTATGGTAAGATTTTCATAGCCAGAGGAAGGTTGACAACTTTCTGGACTCTACAACCGAGCAATGCTATCATACAAACCACTTTCTCAGTCAAAAATTATGTATTGTGATTCAAGACTGGTTTTCATTTTAGCTTGAAGTCATCGACTGGTTGGTTCACTTCGGGGCAGATATCAACGGAAAGCCATTTGAATCAAACTCTCCTCTTTCAGTATCGGCCAGCAAGGGATACATTGACTCCTGTAAACATTTATTGAAATACGGTGCTGATGTCGACGCCACCAACTTTGTGCGTAATTCTATTTTCATCGATTTGCTTGATTTTGCTTTCTTCTTCCATTCGTCCTGAAAATTTATTTCTTCATTACAGAAGTCCAGAATCTGAGACTCGCAGCAATACCATCAATTAGTATTGGGCAAATGAAGTAGGGGCCGGAGGCTAAGTCCCTAGAAAAGTTTTTGGATCAGGCCCTAGTTTACCTCGTTTGTCTAAAAATGTCCTTCAATATACCATCGCAAGGAACGGTATTGTTTCTAGCTAAACATCAAAGTTTTGAAATTAGAAATTTCATGTATGCAGAATCACGGTAAAATCAATAATAAAGTGCTACATATAGATATAAAATCTACATTTGAATCTACAATAAAGTCTTGGTCAAGTTTCTCGAAGAAACACACTCCGTTAAATGTTGTAACATAAATTATTGATAACTGATGGAATTCCTAACGCAATAGTCAATGCTGGTAAATATAGACAACGTAAAGTCATAGGGAAGTGCCAGTTACCGTATTTTCTAAAATATAAAGACGCTCTTGGATACAGATCGAGTTTGCTAAGAAAACCACCCTTGGATAGAAGGTGCATTACTGAAGCCAAAGGGGTTCAACCCAACGCATTAGCACTAATTCAGTCATCACAGAAATTCAGCTGATCTTACTCTGCTTTAGTCGTTTTTTATGAAGAAAATTATTTTAGGAATAGCCTGTCTGCCGAGTCAAAGCAGGCTGCCTCTCTGTATAGTTTCAAGAATACTATTTAGAAACTGTTTTCTTTCGTTTTTGTTGTAAATTTTGAACATTATTGTCCATAGGTTTTGAATATTGTAAATAGGGTTTTATAGTTTAATTTAATTAATAGCTCTTATTTCGTATCTTTTGTAAGTAATGTTTTTAACTAAGGTATAACGTAGCATAGCTGCCAATAATCAACCAGGAAGGTGTAACTTCCATCACACGAAGCTAGCATGGGATGTTTTCTACGGTTTTATTTACACGGCTCAAGTAGGCCACTCTGTAACTACTTAATATAGGTAAAAACAGGATGTATTTAATGACAGGAACAGATTTAGAAATATGGTCGTCTTCAAAAGAAACGAGTTTCGAAACAAGAGAACGAATTGTCTGTGGGTCACCTTATCAATATATATTCAGATTCACTGAGGCTGCTGTATTCCTGACATATAAAAAAGAATAAACTATTGCTCCAGCGAAGGGAAGGCCACATCGAGCCACAACACCTAGATAGGGTCGAAAGGAAGAATAGGATTTAGGTATAGCTATTGGAAATATAAAGAAGGAATTTTCATTTGCCTTGAAAAAAGCCATTAACTTCTGTATTTACTTGTTTTTTCTCTGTCTTATACTTGTCTTCTTTATTTCGTAGGAAGAGGCCACTCCATTGATGTACGCAGCCTTTAATGATCATCACCACGTTGTTAAACTTCTGCTTGGTATGTTCTACGCGCATTCCTTTTTTGGCTGGAAAACCTACATGATTTGCTCGTGATTATAAAATGAAAAGTCGTGGTCTGCAAATTGCAACATGCGCTTCTTCCACAGTACTGGTGATCTTACCGACAAGCTGGCGATTTTGCCCATCAACTCATAAAAGACATGGGATTGTCCCCCTCTTTAAATACAGTCCTGCGCAAAAGGATCTATTATTTCCAATATAAGCAGGTTTCAATACATAAAAAACATAATTGTCTTAATCTGCCTTCGTCGGAGAACTGACAATTCAGATTCTATTCTGTTATTGGAGGAAAATGAATGCAATTGATGCCGTTAGTGACATTTACACCCAATATGAAGTTGATGTTTATTTTCTAGAAAATGGAGCTGACCTGACCAAGAAGAACATATACCAAACAACGGTAATGGACATTGCGCAAAAACAGGGGAATAAAAAAGGTACTCGTTGCTTATGTTAAAAATATATTCAAAGCAACTTGCAACCGTCCTCGAAATATATTCAAAGCAACTTGCAACCGTCCTCGAAATAAATTCAAAGCGACTTGCAAACGTCCTCGAAATATATTCAAAGCAACTTGCAACCGTCCTCGAAATATATTCAAAGCAACTTGCAACCGTCCTCGAAATATATTCAAAGCAACTTGCAACCGTCCTCGAAATATATTCAAAGCGACTTTGCACGACAGGTTGTTTGTACGTCTTTGTGTGTATACCCGGTCCATTTTGTATTTCTGGTCCCACCATACCCATGGAATGGAATCAGGCCCTGAATATTCTATGCCGGCCTTTCGAGTTTGAATAACCATGAAGTTATAACCTATTACCATTACTTCTAAGCTTTTACCCGATCCTTTAATTAGCTTACAATACGGTAGAAAGCAATACTCTCGTTTTAGGTCCTTAACAGCACTACTTATAATTAAAATCATTGAGTCACCTACATCGTCAGCAACTGTTGGGTGCCTGTTCCCAACATAATATTCATTAAAACCAGGGGGGACAGAACAGTCGAGCACATCGGACGTGGACCGAGGGCCTGGCTCTATTCATTTCCAGGACCTTGTTATCCATACGCGGCTTGTTTAGATTTTTTGCCGTAAGCCCAAGAACCCACCCGTTTGCCACTGTTGACATTCACCACTGTTTTGTTTACGAAAGTTACATCATAATTTTAACCAACTCGAATTGTTTTCTAGTCTTGGCGGAGATCGACAACTATCTCATCAAAATACTCAACGCTTAAGACCCTGTCGTTGCTGCAGGCAAGAGAAACGCGCTCAAGTCTCGAAAGGCCATCCAAGTCGACTTCTAGATTATAATTCTAACTTGCCTTTTAAGATGCGTATGAAAAAGCACACATAAGGAGAGTTAATTGAATCATTGTAAATACAAACTTGAGGCTGAACTTGCTGCCACGTGCTGAGACCTTCTGCAGTAGGAACCACGTTGCTCATAAAAACAAACAACCGACAACGTTTGAAGGTAAGTCAGGACAAGGCGGCGCATGGTTTGTCAAGATTAACTGACTGTCAAACGCTTTGTTAGATGTGAATTTCATAGTTCTGAGTTCGTAGTTCTAGAAAAAAATGTCACTTAGATATTTATTTGATCGCAAATGATTATTTAAAGCAGCGCCCTGCTTGCATAAATTTATCTGTATAATTGATAACCAAACAATAACAGACGCCTCATTTTGTATATAGCTATTTTTAGTATTTTAAGGCAGATCAAATAATTTGATAAAAATTAATTTTATTATGTCAACATGGAGGAGATTTTACTTTTCAAATATATCGTTTTTTTCTGCTCAAAACTGTCCAGACAGTAATGTACACACTGAGGCGTAGAAGAGAATAGTGATAAAGCAGTTTCGTTGGATCAACTGTTTAGTATGATTTGCAATTAGCGAGGTTGATCTAGAAAGACTTGCCACGTGCAATAAAGCAAATAGAAATCTTTCTATAATTTATTACTAATTAATAATGATAGGTCACGAAGTTTGTAATTTTTTGTTTCTTGAGCCAGTACCTGAAAAAGCGTTATTTAGCTCCTCTAACTGTCGATTTGTTCAATACAGCCTGAGATGGTCACATGAGTACAGACATTCGTCTTAGTAAACTTCAAGTCTTTCTTTCAGGCTATAGTCATTGGAAATTTGTAGAAGTTTTAAGCGTTTTGCACATTTAAAGATTTCACAACGTCATTTTTCTGCCAATGCAAATCTTAACATTTTAAAAAAGTCTTTTATGACATCAGCACGTGTTGACTCTATTGTTGTAGTTGATTGTTCCGTGAAACGAAAGCAAAAAGAATCACATATGCTATAATGTAAAGGATGAATATGATATCCACAGTTAGCTTTGTACATAAACGTCTTCATAAAGACAGCTACATGATCACGTTTCACGTTCAGAACTACCATTACTGTTACCCGAGTCATTTTGTTCACTGAAATCTTCTACCTCTGTTTCTTGGGTTGTTTCTGTGTGGTCTTTGGCGACTGCTGACTCTGTAAGTACAATGAGATCCAGAGTGAAGAAATAAAAATCCTTTAAACATTTAAAAATTAATTGAAGTTTTAACAAGTTCACAAAAAAACAACAAAAAGGCTAAACGTCAGTAAGCTTTGGAACAAGACTAAGAGAGAAAGCAGAGAATGTTTGCACCAAAATATATTGTAGAATGTTTTCCTAGACTCACAGACAGAAACCGAGTCGACAGTATGTAGCTATACTTAAAAAGTAGCAATGTAGTGTCAAAAGTCCGTTCAAGTTTGGTAGGAAGAGGACATTTTCTCTTTTTTAGATCAATTATAGGAGGTCTGCCTTAGCTGTTCACAGGAATTTGCATGGAGAAATTTACCCTGCGGTTTAAGCGGATAACGCCAAACAGCATCGAGTTTAACTAGCACACACAATCATTCAGCATTTTAATTTTGCAAAATAGGCCTATGAAACAGTTTGAAACCTTTGCATTCTGACTATCCCTAAAGCTAATACTAACAATTGCACTAATCTCAATATCTTGCCTGGCAAAAACATTTCAATTAAAACTTGTGTTACGCTTAGTAAATTTATTTACGAAAAAAGTCTTTTACAATATGATAGATATATATATAATCTCAATGATATCAATATAAAATCGTGCTTATCTCCAAAATAATTTTCAGAAAATCGAATAAAAACGTTCCTTTTCTTTCTCATTCTGCCCCTACATTAACCTATTAGAAATGGAATTCGTCTCTTACCTCTGTGTTCTTTAGTTTCATTTGATGAGCAGGTTGCTCCTTCACAGCTATCATTAACCTCATTATCAGAAGTCTCCTCCGGACAGGCCGAAGCTTCTTCTTCTGAAGTGTTACGCTGCAGTGCTATAACTCGTCGATCAATTGCGGTGTGCAACTGAATGATATCTTTGGGAGTTCCCTGCATCAAGAATGGATGTTGCTGAGTTACGTTTGACCAAGCTAAGCAACCTCATAATGTACAAATTGCTTATAATAATGAAAAAATGTGCCAGCTCTGTGAAGTCGTCTTTTATTTAAGAGATGAGCGTATAAGAAGCATGAGGCTCAAAGTTCTGAAAAGCTAAGAAACAATTAAGGAAATTCTCTTAATAAAAAACTAGAAGAGATTTTCAAGAAATATTACACCAAACAGATTTAAAAATAAATTGACAAATGGCTTATATCTGTATACTAGCACATGCGCATTTAAATGAAGTGCGCCTTTAAGGGTGTAATAGGGTAAAAATTGTTTACTTACGGTTACTAGATAAACGTTTATTTTTTCTGTTTCTGGATCCAGTGCTGTGATACGCAAGCTTTTGTTGCTGGCTTTGTCGTAACAAATTTGTGGCCAAAGAAGCGTGTTCAGCACAACCTGGAAACTGCCTTGCCTTCGGAATACTAACAAGGAATAAAGCAATGTTTTAATTAAATTTCAACCAACAGAATATAAGGCTTAGGATACTTGGTTTGTTCGCAAGATCTCATCCAAAACTTCATATAACCTACGAATTTTGCTAGAAATGTGAACAGAGAAAGGTAAACTTTTCAAAACCAGAAACGATCACCCCTAACATTTATGTTTTGGAGACTTTTTTTGACATGAGATGTTAAACCTTCCCTTTCCTTTTATTAAGATGGATGCAGGTGATGTATAAACCATTATAGGCCACTTGACAAAGGTCCCCTGTTGCTAATCTTCAAATTTCCAAAAGTTATAATTTCTGACTATGCAAATTTTATTTAGAGGGCCTCTCCAGTAATTTATGAGGATCCCTCCCCTCCAGTATTGGGAGGATCCCCCCCCCTGCCTTTCCATGGAAAATGCAATATCTTACATTTGTGGCGAACGTAATTATGTCCTTCATCGGATCATTTTCATTAACAACTTCCTTTGTCTACGTATCCACAGTAACGTAATCAACAATACTTCCGTAGCGTCCCTTCCTTTTATGCGTAAACGCCCTGTATTGTAATTAGTCAGTAAATTCATAAAGACGCAACGGTCACGCAACTTCGTCTCTTGCTGGCTTCGTGCTTTCTGCACGTTAAATCAGATCATAAAAAAGACAGCATGTCTCTAAAGAACTTACAAAAGAGATAATATTGGAACCAATCAACACCAACAATCAGAATTCCTATACTAACAACAGTGTTCCATGAAAGTCGTTTCTCTTTCAAGTATTGGCAATTATTCTATACTGTATTTTATAGCTAGTATTGATTGGAATAAAGCATATAGGCATTCGATTTTTAGATAGAAATCGAAGGGAACACTTGCTAAACTTGTGTTCTCTCTGTCAACAAACTCTAAGTCCTGCAAATCCCACACATAAATGTTTGAAAAACGTCTCTAGCACCAAAAATCTATCAATTCCATCGACATTTCCTAAAATCCCCGTCAAAAGTCTTGGTACATTAGACGAGATTTTCCACATTTTTATAACATTCCTCGTTCCTCTCTGAAAAGTGTTCTTTTATGTTACGTTTGGAGGTTCTGTGTTATTGATTTAGGGTCACAGGGTTCCTTGTCAGTCTTTTCTGCCGAAAGCTGTAATTTATTTTGAAACAACATCTATGCAACAAGGCATCGTTGCATGGTATTGCGGCAGGGATTGTTGGCTAAATAACAGAAAAACATTAACCTTTGCATTACTTGTGCAGTTGCAAGGCATACACACCTAATCTCGATTGAAATATGTCGTCTTTTTCTGATTTACAAATATCATTCAATTTGAGAACCCCTCTTCCTTTTTCTATCCAATTTGACTTTTCTGGACATAATAAATGCAACTTGCATTGAATCTGGAAAGACAAAAACAACAAAAAATGTGATAATGGAGAAAGCTGCAGATATTTTGAAACTCTTTCGATAAATATGTTTAAAAATGTTTCTCAATACATCTGTTTTAAAGTGTTTCTAAATACATTTGATTCAAAACGTTTCTCTATACATTTATTTCTAAACATTTCTCTATACATTTGTTTTAAATCTTCGTTTTTCAAAACAGTTGTGTCAAAACGTTTCTCGATACATTTTTCTTAAATCTTCGTTTTTCAAAACATTTGTTTCAAAACGTTTCTCTATAAATTTATTTCAAAACTTTTCTCTATACATTTGTTTTAAATCTTCGTTTTTTAAAACAGTTGTTTTAACACGTTTGTCGATAGATTTGTTTTAAAACGTTTTTCGATACATTTGTTTTAAATCTTCGTTTTTCAAAACAGTTGTGTCAAAACGTTTCTCGATACATTTTTCTTAAATCTTCGTTTTTCAAAACATTTGTTTTAAAACGTTTCTCTATAAATTTTTAAAACGTTCTCGATACAGTTGCATTAAAACTTCTCTCCATACTGCCAAATGTGTGGATATTGAGCAGAATGATAGCAAAGCCGTTTCGATGAAAGTGGCTAATTGAAGAAAGTTTGTTTTTCTGAGCCTGCATCATCCAGTGAACGAAAAATGTTCCAGCTAAAAAGAGCATGATATTAATCGCCTTTAAATAGCAAACATACTATAGCACAACCGCATATATATACATCCCAAACAATCGCCCAGGTCTCCTTAAAAATTGATTTGCCCAACAAACCTGTAACACATTGCGTTCGCCTTCTTCTCCAGTCACAACTTCAACTTCCTTTAAATGTATTTTTGTAGATTCTTCCTTTTTCATATGTTCCATTGCATTTTCAACTAATTTCTGTTCTTGCTCTTTTGCGGATATCTCTTCCGGTTTTTCAAACAAATTCCCTATTTAAAAAAAATATTTTTACCCAATTTCTAAATAACGTTACTTATGGCTTTTACAAATTTTCATAAAAAAATTACCTTATTACTTGTGAAATTAAAAAATCTTCTATAAAAATATCAGGTGCAGCTTCCTGGCAGGATGGGACTGTTTAAGAAACAGATGTTTTTTATCATAGATTTTAATCATAAATGTAGAATGTACGTTTTGGTATCACAGTTTAAGCTTGCATTTTGCGTCTATGTACAGAATGAATTCAATTCGCTGAACCTAAAACAGAGTGACCATCCAGTGGCACATTTGGCATGATGGTAACAAGGGCGAAAAATTATGTGCATTGACAGAAATCCGGCATTTAAAAACGAAAACGGCGTATATTCTATGCTTAGTCGGCTAGCAAGAGTCGTAGTTACTGACAGTGAGCGTCCGAAATTGACCTTTCTTGGTTAACAATTTTTACTACCATTATTGACTATCAGAAATATGATTGGTCAAAATAAATTTGTCAATCAAATTATCGACCAATGAAATGGCGAGTTTATATCTGGGGTTTATATCTGAAGTTTATATAAGAAGCGAAATCTGAAATTAGGCACTTTTTTATGATGTCCTCTTTAGTGTTGGTTAGCAGGTTGGTAGCTTGGCAGAACCTAATCAACTAATAACTTTAACAAACATGATAACTTATCAAAGACACAAGAAATCACCCAAAAAATTCAATAACTACAATACAATACAATACAATACAATACAATACAATACAATACAATACAGCTTGAAGCATCTGAGAATAACATACCCTCTCCAGACGTATCTGATTTTGATACATCTTCAAACCCCTGAAAAGAAAAAAAACAATATTTACACTTGATTGTGATGAAACCAAATTATATTTTCATACAATCAACAATCTTACTGAAACCAATGCTATCAAATTAAAAATAGACAAGCAACATATTTTCACATATTTTCTTTAATGCGATGTTGATACCAAACAATTAAAAACATTGGATCAAAGGACGTCATTTTATTTGCTATGGACAACTATACGTTCTGTACGATGGCCACAAAATGATTGGTTGTTGTAAAAGAGTTTAGTACCCTCAATCCTACAAAAATTGGCCCAGAGAAGTATTCAAGTAATGTATTCTAAACCATACTTTATAGAAAGGGCCCTTCCCCAAACAAAACAAACATGCATAGCATTGAAATCAAATCTAATCGACTAGGACCTATTTATCAATGATTTTTAATCAAGAGTTATGTTATGTACTTGCTCAAACACGTTCCCATGATGTCAGTTCTTTTCCGAACTGATAAAGTTCTGTTAAGGCTGATTTCCACGCGGCGAATTTCGCAGCGAATTTGCGGCGAAGTCGCTGAAGAAGGGATCAAGGCATGTGCAGTTTTGATTTTTGATTTCGCAGCGAATTCGCAAGAAAGTAGAAAAGAGTTCTACTTTTTCGTGGCGAAATATTCCGCAGCACCTAGTAACCAGTCAAAGCAAAAGTAAATTTGCTTGATTTGTAAGAAGGAATATTCGCCATGCGTGCAGTCCTGAAAATGGGCGCCTTAAAGTTGAGTTTTGGGGGAAATCAATATATACTTTCGCAGCGAATTCGCAGTCCCGTGGAAATCAAAAGACAATTTCGAAGAGAATTCGCAGCGAATTCGATCATTCGATAGCGCGAAAAACTTATCTTGTGCGCAGTACAGTCAACTCTCGTTATTACGATCACCATTGGGACCAAAATATTGCGTCCGCTAAAACGAGAGTCCGTAATAGCGGGATGCCAAAAAAATCACAAAGTTATTGGTTGAAAATTTATCAATTTTGGCAATCAACAGCAATCATACAATTTTATTAAAAGATTTGAAGTTCTGTAGTTTATAAGCTTTGTGTTATTCTGCAGTTTGTAGTTTTATTGCATAGACCACTGATTCGACCACTGACAGTATCTGCACAAAGCACGACTTTCTTCTTCATTAACAAGAAATATTTCTTGATTAAGATTGGTTACTTGAGACATCAGTTGAAGAAGCGAAAAAAAATGAAGTTGCAAAGCGGAGACTAAAAAACCAAAATCGAATTCAATACTGATATAAAATGTGAATTTTTTGCGCCATGTTTGTTTTGATCTGAATTTGCAGTAAATGCGGATGTGCAAAACTCTGTGGCTTTTTCAAGCCGGTTTGAAAATATTCCTGTGAGCAGGAGTCAAATTAGCACGCACTATCAAACTTCAAGCCGACCTGAGCTTCAGACCGGCCTGAAATTATTCCTGTGATAGGGGTCTAAGATTAGTGAGACTGCAACAAATAAAAATTCCAGAAAAAAGGAATTGTGCAATAGATGCTAAAGATCCTGGTCGATGCAATGCATTTGCGTAGTATCTGACAGCTATACACAGCATGTGTCCGTTGTATCGAGAGTAAAACAATTAAAATGTTCGAAAAGGACCATACGTATTATCCGTATTTCCGTAATAACGAGAGTCCGTTATAGCGGAAGCTAAATTCATTTCTTTGTATTTTCGGTCGGGGATTTAATTTATGTCCGTAATAGAGGAGTGTCCGTAATATCGGGGTGTCCGTAAGGCGAGAGTTGACTGTATCTTCAGATTCAAATCAAAACGGAGCTACAAATTCTGTATTATTGAATCGTATGATAAGTTTGAGCTGCTGCTTATAATCAGGGTTGAATTTTGCGCGAGTAATTCAACAGGAAGAAAATGCAAAATAAACTCTCAATACATATAGTGCGATTAAAATTTGCTTACTGTCACACGCTCGCTAATATTCTGCCCGAACACAAATCTATAAGCACCATCATTTGACCTGGAATAAAACAAACGATTATGTCAAAGAAACGTACCAATTTAGCTACATAGCTCTTACCCTGCATGTGACTGGGATATTCAAACTACTGGAAAGGACTGTATGGATTGAAATCAAGTCATTTGTCCCTGTCAAGTGAAACAAACATTCCACCGAACAAAAATGCAAATCTATTAAATGCAAATAAATTTTCTAGGGAGATAAAATTTTTGGGGCAATTTCCTTGATTTGTGACCTCCTCAGACGAAAGACAATTGCAACAATGTCCCGACCGTTCGCTTAACATCAGCAAGGCGAACCGTTTACCATAAAGACTTATATAATAACTCTCTCCCTCTCACTGTTTTGTACTACGCCAGTGTTGTGACTCGACACTTTTCACTTTTCTGACCAACGCTTTCCATTCCATTCTGCCTTCTGCTAGTTCTATATTTGTATTTGTTTCTACCTGGCTCTGAAGGTAGTTTTTAGAACAATGAGAAGCTTATGCTTATCGAGCAGTATCCTAGTCCTTCATCTCGATATGACCACACCTCGTGATTCCTACGCCTGGAATTACAAAGAGCTGGCGACCCCTGTCACACTGGGTGAAAGTTTAGTCAGGCCAGGGACTCGAATCACGGACCCTTGAGTGGGTCTGTAGTCAGCGCCTCTAACAATGGCGCCATATCGTTCTTGGGCTTCACTGAAAGTTAAACCTAGATGTTTCAGATGTTGAGTGACAATGCTGACCCATGTCACTTTGACTGGTCACAGGAATTCACTAAGAGCTTGTCTGGCTGGAGTATTAACTGGTAGTCTTATTAAAGGTCGAACTTTTATGATAAATAACTATCTATTTAAAATCAGCAAAAGGGACATGGTAGGCAAACGTACCCACTATTATTGTCCCCATGGCTATTATTCACATTATTGGCATCTTTGTCTTCGTTAACAAAGCCAAATGTGCCAATTCCTTGAGGAGGAACAACAGTGTCAGTCAACTGGAGGCCTGCTGAAGGGCTTTTCGATTCATTTTCAACCTAAAAGTAATATGAAAAAAGAAAATGCATGAATAATGGCAAACAAAACATTTATCAAACAAAGTGGTGGCTTTTCCATTTTACTTTTGTGATTCTTTTTTAAACTTTGAGTAACATCATTATTGTTTCAATATAACAACAAACTAATAATATCACTTAATTATATCAAGTTGGTAATGAGTTAACCTCATTTGGCTTGGATTAAATATCAGAAATAGGGTAATATCTTGCAAGCACAATTCATTACCTTGATTTTCTTCTTTCCATCATCATCTTTTGATACTCCTGCATAAACAAACATGAAAAGTTCAGTAAAAACCTATATGTAAGTAAATACTCAAGATGAACCAAATGGCAAAAATTGGTGATTTTATTCAAGCATTTTTTTTAACCAAACTTTCAAAAAAAATATTTTAAAAAATTCAAGAACGGCTTTAGCAGCGCAAAGCAACAGAACAGTAAAAATATCCCACAAATTAGGTAAATCAAAATACAAGAATTAAAGTCAACAAATAATTGCATTTATTAGTCAAAATTAATGAGCAATTAGATAGTGTTGTTTTCACATGAACCTTAAATGAACTAAGGATGCTTAAAAACCCAACTAAGCTTAACTGAAAAACTAAAGCACTTGTATCATGGGTACTACTGTTGGCTAGAAGTTTTGGGTCTGTAACAACACTTTTTGGCTAGTAATGGGAGACTTGTAATTACTTGATTGCTTCCATCAAAATCTAACCTTCTTTAAAAGAAAAATTGTGATCAAGTATAATCATTTTTGCTTGCATCCCTTTAGGTACAAAGTAAATGGAGGGGTCAGTATAACCTGGGGCCCAAATAAGGGGTGTCTTAAAAGGGAGATAATGATTTTAGGAAATCTAAACAAATAAGTAAGAAACAATAAAAAGCAGAAATAAAAATGGAAGAGATTTGTTTTCAATAATTCTTTTTGAGCAACTATTTTGCTTCGTATATACACTTCAAAGAGGAAAACTAATACACTTTTTGGTTTGTAATAGCCAAAAAGGTTGAAAATTGAAAAGATTAACAAGTGAAAGTCTTTTATTGAGGTAGTTTATCACAGAAATAGAAGAACCACCACGTGTATCAAAATTCAATGAGGAAGCATTGTTTACCTTCTTTGTCTTCACCTGTTTTCCTCTTTTTTGATTCTGTAACACAAGTAAATGAAGATTACCAAATTGAAAAATTGTATTCACACACGTTTATAAAATTCCCTTCAGTATTAGCCAGGATTGTGTTTTTAGAGTGTATGGACAATGTCATAATTCCAAATTAGCGACTATGTTGAAACAATAATTCACCATGCAAGATCACACAAACCAAAAATTGTACCACAATAGCTGAAACAGATCTACATTTAGAAGAAAAAACAAATTTTAAGTCGAAAATGGAAACTGATGAAGTGATGAAGTGTTCTTTGTAGGTGATGTCCACCATCTGTTCTTGCAGTCAAAACATTTGCTCTTTCAAAATTTTTAATTTAAGCCTAAACAGAGAACCTTGAGTGTCTCTCATTAACATTTTCCATGCTATAAAACCACATTTTGGAAGAAAGTACAAAATCAAATACAATTGAATAGGCAAGAACACTGACCTGGCCTTAAAGTAAATGAAGGTGGGTAGCAATTTCATTTTGTTTTTAATACTAGGAAATAATCCTTTGGTACTACAAAATGTAAAGAGATTACAGATCTTGTTCCTTTTTGCTTACACATAGATTCATTGTATTTCTTGATCACAAGAACTGTGTTCTTCAAGATAGCCCAGGTAACAAAAACTAGTTTAAAGGCATTGAGTCATGGTAAATAGGCCTTCTCTATAGGGGGTCGTTTGGTTTTTGCATGATCGCTGCTGTTTCTGTGATGTTTGCATCTGTTGTTGACAACTTGCTATTGATGGAAATTGTTTTGTCAATCAATTCGAGGTGAGTTCATGTGACCAGTTCCAGGTCAACCAATAGCATTGCAGTCATGAAAATCATGACTCAGCAGATTTAGGCACTTAGGGTATACCCAATCCATTTTATCATGACTTAATGCCTTTAATGAGCATCTTTTTTAAAGAAATGTGAAGACACTAAAAAATGCCTAAATATCCTAAAAACTAAGAGACATCTAGGAAACAATGCCAGGCTCAGATAGAAAAAAAGGGAGAAAAGCCAAGTTAAGTGTCACTTTCTCCACCTAGTACCCTAAAACAAGAGTCTGTTCATAAGAAACATTGAGGCTCAAATCAACAATGTTGTGGAACTTTAAGCCTACCTTGTCTGACATGTTTCTTAGAAAAAGATGTGTATTGTATTCCTTTGCTTGTAAAATGTGCTACCTTTTATACCTACCTTGTAAAATGTGTAAAATCTGCTTCAGTGTGAACACTGAAAAAAGTTTGGCTATGGAGATCAGCCTGATAACGGAACAAATGGATGATGACAAGAAAGGTCTTTTCTATTGCGTTTACTATGAGGACCAATTTTATTGGGGGAAAGTACAAAAAACGTTTGCACAGGATCCTGGTGACAATGCTGACACAGTAGAGATGAACTTCCTCTGTTATTGAGGTGATGGATTTTGGGATTTTGCTAAACTGCAAGATGTTGAAATCGTTGATGTGAAGTACCTGTTTCTTGGCCCATGTCAGCCAACGCAAATCATCAGTGGCAAAGGATACAAATTCGAAGAAGATTCAGCTGCACACTCACAATTCAGTATAATAAGAAAATACGACTTCTATGGATGTTAAAACTATTTTTATTAGCTGTATTTTTAGCTTATTGACATATGTATTTTTTGTATTAAATGGAAATCTTGATTTACAAAAATTATTTACAGCAAATATCAACAAATTTATTGAATCAAATTAACATTCTTTCGTAATTGAGAGGTGCGCAGTTTTTTGCTACATGTGCGCATTTTTCTCCTTTTTGTGGTTAAAAAATGTGCACCAGTTTTTCATTCTTAAAAATTCATCTCTTAAAGAATGGGTAGCAATTTTTTTTTGCTAAAGGAACTTATCAGGGCTACTTTGTAACTATACATAATTTTTTCCAATATGTGTGAACTGAAAGTTTCTCAAAAATGCGCATTTTTTCCCCCCACTGACCATAATCCTTATTTTACACTCCAAATGTAAATGGAAGTCATTCTAAACAAGCTTAATAGGATAATGCTAACCAAGTTGTTTCTTTACTATTTATATTTCCAAAAAAAATTAGAGTCTAGAGCAATTGAGAAGATTTTTTAATTGGGCTTCACAGAAAACTCTTACCTGTATTAGTTTCAAGTTTATCTGCAATAGCAGTTAGGGCTGAGGGCCTTAAAAGAATAGGCTTGTTTCCTTGCAGAGAACCTAAACAATGAAAAATATCTAAAAGTAACCAAAAATAAGTGAACCACTTCTAAGAAAAAAAGTATTCTGGTAAAAAATTTCGACAAACACATTTTAGTACCCTTTTCCCCCCTACATAGAACTAGAATATTTTGACAAAAGGGTTGTCGGATATAAAAGAATACAAGTACCAGAGAAGAGAACAGTGTATTCATTCTCATGCATACAAATGATTGTATTCTTAACTTATCAATCTTGCAATAATGCATATGTATTTCATTTTGATATAAATCCACTTGCATGATGTAATGCAAATTACTGTTTAATGTCTGTCATGAAATGCTTGATGCAGGATAGACAGAGCTGTACATGTTGCAAAAAGTAGGTTTAACTTTTTTTCTTATTTCGTAAGTCATCTATGATTTATGTGCAAGAGACCAAAAGACTTACCAAATCCACCAGAAGATGATGACAGAGCTGATGGTCTTAGAGCAAACGGTTTTCCTTCAAAAAGGACAGGGCTGTCAAGTTTTGGAAAATGAGATGAGGGACAAACATGCGTACACTTACAAATGATAAATGAAAATGGTTAAATGTGGCAAAACATGAATTATTGACTGCTGTAGCATGGGCTACTTGTCTACCATCTAAGTGCAAAATTAAAACATTATCCAAGATTAAAACCACAACAAAACAAATTTGAACTATTTCATAATAAATCTAGAGTATATATTGAATTTATCTTTTACAAAACAATGAAATTTTCTCAGTTTATTAACATTTTTTTAAATGCCATTTTTGTTCAGAATCATTGAAACTCATAGCGTGCGCATTAAGTTGGAAAGCCGATGATCTGCGGAACTCAAAATATATTCGAATAGTTTGATGTGTTTCCTTGCACAGCTTCCTATGAGGTGACATAAACCATAAACCCTTTTCTGGCTTTCTTTCAAAAGTAGATGAATAAAATAGTAAACGTTTTAGAAAAGAACCTCAAAACCACAAATTAAAAAATGCAGGACAAACAGCCTATTTTAGAGCAAGCGTGCGGGAATGCGGATTTGACAAGAAATTGGGTGCAAATCCTGCACGATGCTGGACACTTGACAGGTCTGAAAGGAATGACAATTTTCAAAAATTGGAAGTGTTGTTAGCAACTTAATTTTAATGCTCAAGCAAACATTTTGTAGGATATGTCATTTTTAATCAAATTATATTATGATATGTTCTTTCAATACCTCAGCCTTAGTGAGTGTTTAGCTTGTAATCAAAGTTTTTAAACAATAGTTTGAAAAGTTGAGCTTAAAGGTCTTTCTTGTCTAGAATTATGTATTTATAGAATATTCTGATAACCAAGCAATACTGTAAAACAGCACAATTTCAATGTGGTAGATGTTTTCTACATTGTTGATAACTTTTGTCAGACAATAAAAGTAAATTCATTTTTAAGACTTCTTTAATTCTTAAATAAACTGTGCTAAGAAAATCAGTAGCATTGTACTTAATTTGATTAGTCTGGGTAGGATGTTACAATAAAAGAAACAGGAAATTGTGGAATTCAGCAGGGATGATATTGATAAAAAAGAAAAGGCCAAGTAAAATATGGAGGCTTCTTTGTTGGTTGACAGTGGGTCTTACACACAGACTTTACACAATACCCCCTCGTTGGTATGCATAGGAGCACATAGCAGGGTGCAACCACAGAATGCATGCATAACTAAAGACCTGGCATCTTTGTGGACAGGGGCACAATTTCTGTTAACACCCTTGCCCAATGGTGCTCTCCTCACAAGAGGTAAGTGCTGGTTCTGAACACAAACTCCAATCTTGAAAACGTAAACTTTTCATGGCGAAACAGATTATGAAAAAAACAAAAAGAAAAAACTAGACGTTCAAGCTAGATTTGGAAAAGATAGGTATATTTTGGTCAATATTTGAAGCAAACCTTTTTTTGCACAACCGCTCAAGTCTGCAACTGCTGTTTTTGCTAAATCTCATATGAATGGGAGATGCTCTCCCCTTGATTGGTCTAGCTACTGAGAGAGCTCCTCCTTTAAGTAATTCCCTTCATACAGTCTATCTTTTTTTATGTTTTGTAAATATTGTATCAATTTTCTGTTTTGATTGATCTATAATATTGTTGTGTAATTCCTGTAGTTTAGTTGTTTGTGAAAGTAGTTATTATTGATCAATTGTACGTAGTGGAAATTAAAATAAAAAAACCGAACTGAACTGAACTGATGTGATGAATACACGTGCAAAATTCTTTCCATATTGGCCTATACAATAGTAAAGGCTATTCTAATGAAAAAGGGCTAGAAGGTAGTCATCCTAATGTTTACTTTTCAGACTTGAATTGCAGGGGACACAAATAATAACTAGCAAACGCTTGGCTTTCACCTGGTGACAACTGTCCGTGGGTGTCCTGCAAAGGAGAAAAAAAATTGGCTACAAAATATTACAAAATTTACGCAGCAAGAAAGAAAACAACTTAGGTCTCGGGAAAAAGAAAAACGAATTAAGAAAATATTGAGGTCTTATAGGTTGCTTGCATTCTTCAACGGTAGTGAACCATATAATCAAAGACTTAGTGGAGGCAAAAACAAGCGATTGTCGTGTCGTCTTGTTCATCGACAGTTCGACACCTCAAATGTAGATTCTATTACCCAAAAATAACATTCAGCTCAAGGAAAAATGAACCACATCCATTAAAATTATATATAATTTACCTTGTCTTCCATGTTCTAAATCGCAAAGCTGCCAAAATCAGATTTGTTATGAAACTTTCGGGAACTGTGCAAAAAACCGCGCTCAAATTTAGGCCGACTTTATAATAAGCTAAATACTTCATGTAAGTTGATATGTGGTGGTGGTATGGTGGTGCAGGGTCAGAAAAGGACAGGGGGTGTGTGCATGAAATTGAAAGTGAAAAGGGCAAGATTTTCTCCAGTAGCGTAGAGCCAAAAAGTGTAAGGGGGCCATAGAGCTTTCTCTAAGTTGTATACAAAATAAATATTTCAGTTGTTTTCGTTTGCATGGCTCCTCAATATCAATTTCTTTACTTTCTATATTTTCTATTTTCTAGTGTTAAATCGTCTTCCAATGTTTACGTTTTACTTGAGTAGAATAATTTTGAATCAAATAATTGAAAGGAGAAAAACTTGCCAGCATTTATTGAGTTTTCAGTTATCAAGAGTGATATTGATGTTACACATGAATGCAAATCTCAAAAAGGAATATTGGTTCGATCTAAGATTTGATCCTGGCAGAAAATAGCCATGATATTTTAGAACTATCCAAAAAAGAAGAAGGGGTGCAGCCCCCCTTTGAAAAGTAGAAGAGGGTTGATTCCCCTGTGCCCCCTTCTTCTGCAGCCCTGATTTAATATGACGAAGCAGGCATTTCGGGGGAAAATATTATTTCACTTATTATTTTATTTCAATATTTTGATTTATCATATTGAATTCTTTACATTTTATTGGATTGCTTCTTGCCGTTTGCGGTGTTCCAACCTATCGTTTTTTTTGCAAAATTGTCCATCAAAGATTCGCAGTATCCAACGGACGGCTCTATCGAGTGTCTCTTCTTTCTGGCACGTTGTATACATAAGTACTGCGTGGCAGCGCCGCCCAGCCCTGATTGTTCAATTGCTATCTAAAGCTTTCTTCTGTAATTCTTCGGAAGATTTTTTATCTTGCTCTATTTGCCCATAAACAAGCATCGAAATATTGATGCCTATTTTCCTTAAGAGCTCTTCCTTAAAAATCCCTTCATGCAAATTCTCTAGTGATGTAAAGGCAGTTTTCTTTTGATTTTTGTTAAATCTGTATGCTTGTATTTATAATTTGTTGTCTGTGACTATTCAAATTGTCGTTTAATGATTTGAGTATATGTATGACGCGGAATTTGAAATAAAGATAACTGAACTGAACTGAATATTAGCATGTTTAATATGGCTTATATTTTATTAGATCCTTACGTTAAATCAGCTATTCTCACTTGTATCTTACTGTTAAACAAGCAAAATCTTGAGCCTACAAAGTACAAGCATGGCCGAGGAGAGGATTTATGGGCCCCGGGTCTAAACGAAAGATAAAATGCACAATGCATGTAAGTCGGCAAAGAAACCTCTGTATTGAAATTTTCAAAACTGTAAAAATGTTAAATTCTGAATTCATGCAAAATATTTTCAAACAAAGAACCTCTGACCGATCCTCACGTCGTCCACAAGACTTGCAGCACTACAGGCCCAACCAAACAACTTTTGGTACAAACAGCCTCAGGTCCCTCGGACCACAAATTTGGAATGGCTTACCACAGGAAATAAAATCTGATCCAATTAAAAAGATTAATTAAAAACTGGGACAGAACAACCTGTACATGCAACGTATGCAAACTTAATGATTTTATTGTAAATTTGTATTTGTAAACTTATTAAAAATTGTTGGTTTAATATATATATTTTGTAAATAATCAAATTAGGCCAGATACGGTATTGTAGCTCAAAATAATATGTATTTAATTTAAAATAAGATTACAACAACAACAAAAAAGCAAGGCACAACCCTTGTAAGGGGTCTGAGGAAATTTTAAGAAGTGAAAAATGTTTAAATGCTAAATTTGATAAAAAAGAACATGCTGCACCAGATAGATTTTCACTCTTCAAATAAATTGAACATTTTTACACCTAGCAATCAGAATGCTGTTTAATTCTACCTTATTTCATTTAAAGGCTTTTCATTATTAACAGGATTTGATAATGGAGAGGCTGAATTGCTTATTATTAAGCTTATTATTAATTGTTTAGTTGAGTTATTATCTATGGGTCTCTAAAGTCATTGACCCCCTCGGTCAGTGACCCCCCCTGACCCCCTTTCTCCTCGGCACTGAGTGCAAGTACTTCTACCAGGCAGATGGCTCGATATCTCTCTGTAAGTGTTTTCCAGTATCCAAGTATCCATCAGCTTTAACAGCCGTTTATTGAAATTTCTCTTTTCATGGTTTTGATTGTAATCAAGGTTAAAAACGTCATGTTGTAACTGATATTGTGTACCATTGCAACTTATGACCTAACGTACAGGCAAATAGAGCCCAGCTAAGTTCGTGTCTGTTCATATAGACTAACAACAGGGATGCCTTCCAAAAATGTTAGGAAGGGGGCTTTACAACAGAAGCCACACCCGAAATCACACCCATGGTCACACCCTGTGCACTTGCATGTGAGTTGAAGATTCTCTTTAGAGTACATGAAGTCATTCAAGCTATTCACTGACTAAAGCCGCTCTTACACGGTCAGATTCTGTCGAATTCGACAATAGAATTCGACAAAATCTGACCGTGTAAGAGCGGCTTAAAAGAATGAGTTATAAGCTCGATATAATACTATTCCTGATAATGAAAGCGACATGGAAATTAAAAACAGCTACCACAGTGGGTTCTCAACAGTCTCCTTTAGATATTGGGGGAAACATCGCCTCACGCTATACTTTCTAAAAATTTCTCTGGCAAATTAATCGCCAGTTAGCTATTTTGATTACATCTTGCTAGAAAGGCATACAGTTCACATTTATTCGGACAACAAAAGGAAGACTTTGGAATGAACAAGACTTTTGGATTCTCTTATAATTGGGAAATCTGGACATTTAAGGAGTGCATGAAATTAATCCACTATCAACTTACATAATCCCACCCAATGGAGTCTCCCTCTTTCAACACTAGATTAATGGTTTTCTCTATTGAACCAGAAACTGTGTATGATTTGAGCTCAACCTATTGAACTGCTTTCTATCTCGAAACCCTTTCAAAGTATGTTCAGGTAAGGTTTCGTCCACATTGCCATCCAACTGTCATCTTGTTTTAGCCTGCACCTAGGTCATTAAACCATAGTAAACTAATCTTTTTTAATCAAACTTACACAATGAATCGACTTACATCTGATTCAGCTGCTAAATCTTCTGGATCATTCACATTTGCAAGACCATGCATCATCAAGAGAATATATGACTATTGTGCAAGTCGAGAAAGTCTAACTGTACCCTTTGGTCCCATCGGGGCCGCCGAAAGGGGGCAAGGAGGGAAATGGCTCTAGGGCCTCAAAGTCTAGGGGACGTCATAAGTAATGAATTCCGTTCAAAATGGAATTGACTAAAAGTAACACAATTTTGCGTGGAAATAGTGAAACATTTTAAACGGAAGAATGAATTTAAGTTAATGGGACAGGGCCACCGAGAGGCCCTGGAGCAAATCCAAAAAATTTGCGATCACATATCGCTATTTTCCTCGGAACATAATTGTATAGAACTTGAGCTGGATCTAGGGGCATATAATGTAATAGGTGTTTTTGTCAAAAGAATCCACCCTATATTTAATATATCGATTTTGGAGGGCGTTTTTCCAAACAACTGGAAAGTTGCTAGAGTAGCTCCTATCTATAAAGAGGGGCCTACTGAAAACAGGTCAAACTACAGACCTATATCCGTGCTCCCGGTTGCTTCACGTCTTTTTGAGAAGACAATCTTTGACCAACTTTACGCCTACTTCGAGGTTAATAAGTTGGTCTACTCACATCAATCCGGCTTCAGAGCCCTGCACTCAGTTTTGACGGGCTTATTGAAAAGTGGTGATGACTGGTACCATGATTTTGACAAAGGACTCCTTTCATCTGTAGTATTTATCGACTTGAAAAAAGCCTTTGATACTGTAGATCATGCAATTCTCATTCAAAAGCTTTGTCATTATGGAGTGCGGGAAAAGGAGCTAGATTGGTTTAAATCGTACTTACATGATCGTAAGCAATGCTGTAAAGTGAATGGACACACATCAAAAATAGCAAACGTGAACTGCGGCGTACCACAAGGATCGTGCTTCGGTCCATTACTATTTTTGATATATATTTATATATAAATGATTTGCCCTGTGCGCTGCAAAGCACAAAAGTGACCATTTATGCTGACGACACAACCATTTCGTAATCATCAAAATCTATAGCCGAGATAAATGAAGCAGTTAATTCAGACCTTGAAAGGCTTCAGATTTGGTTGGAAGGTAATAAACTCTTCCTTAATGTAGCCAAAACGCAAAGCATGATCCTTGGTTCCTCGAGTAATTTGAAAAAACACTATATGGACAATGGAGATCCTGTGATCAATCTCCATATAAAAGAGGACAACCTAGGTATGATTGGATCAAATAAGTATCTGGGCATTCAGATTGATTCAGAACTTAAGTGGAGAGAATATATAACTTTTTCTATAGGCAAGATTTCCAGACCAGTGGGCATGCTTAAATATGCTAAAACAATATCTTCCATTAGAAATTGTAGAAAACATGTATACAGGTATAGTTGAACCGCATTTCAGAAACTGCTGCTCAGTGTGGGGTTGTTGTGGAGAAACTCTGCTTGATAAGCTGCAAAAGTTGCAAAACCGTGCCGCACGAATCACTACTAACAGCTCTAGCGATGCATCATCCCTTCCATTGATTGGAAGCCTGGGTGGTTAACTATAAAAGAAATGATTTAATTTGAAACTGCAACTGCAGTGTACAAGTCTCTCTAGGGATTAGCCCCTGAATATATGCAGCTAATGTTTAAAAAATTGTCGGAAAACAATTCACGGTCTCTCCGTAATACAGACACGGATCTTAGAATTCCTCGCTTTGCAACCTCTCACGGGCAACGTAGTTTCTCATATCGAGGTGTGAATGTGTGGAATAAACTAAGCACTAAAATAAAAATGTCCCTTCACTGGCTACTTTCAAAAGTTTGCTGAAACAATCTTTGAAAAAAACAAAGGGTTTAAAAGTTCTTGTACAGCATCAAACATTTTTTTTATTTATTTTTTATTTTTACCTTACCAGAATAACTTATATATTAATTTTGGTTTAACTTTGTTATTTAATTGTATGTTAATTAGCTTAGGTTTTTAGACAGGCCACATTGTAAATCAGTTGTTATCTTTTCAATACTGAGTCTATTACCCTGTATAGATAATTAAAAATCAAATCAAATCAAATCAAATCGAATCGAATCGAATCGAATCGAATTGAATTGAATCGAATCGAATCGAATCGAATCAAATCAAATCAAATCAAATCAAATCAAATCAATCAAATCAATCAAATCAGTCAAACCCTATCGTTACCGTCGATATAAACTAGTCCTTCGATGAGAATTGAGACAAAGAGACAAATAAATATTGTTTCAAACGTCCATCTTCTGATCATGTGATCTTTCCGCGAAAGGTTATAAACTTCACAATGTTTCTCTACGGTTGTTAGTCTGGGCTGTTAGAACATGAATTGTGCAAATTGTGATACCAGCATGAAAATGGGTACACTGGGGTAATGGGGACACAAGCCGAAAAATGCCCCTAAGTGCCATTTTTAGACTGGGGTACTTGGCCCCAGTCCTCGTATTGGGCCAATCTCCATATGTCATTAATGATTCGTAAAAAAAGTGCAAAAGGAAAGATTTAGGTGCATTATCATATATTTACATATATAAAGAGAAAAGGAAGTAAAAAGTTGCCCCTTGATGCTATTTTCAGAATATGATATTGGTACCCATGTCTCTTTTTAGGCATTCTTCTCCAAATAATAACTCTCTTTTATATGAATATGAAATGTAGCTTTCTCTATTCTTTCAACAAACTGGAAAGTTATACGAAAAGATGTAATTGACAATCTTACCCCTTGATGCTATTTTTATAATGGGGTACTGGAACCCAGTTCTCGAATTTGGGTTTTACCTTCATAGTCTAGGCTTTAAGCACAGTATTTGACTTGAATTGTGCAAATTGTGGTACCAGCATGAAAATAGGTACACTGGGGCAATTTAACACGTTGTTAATGATGCTGAACAGACACAACTTAAAAACACCCCCAAGTGCTATTTTTAGACTGGTGTACTTGACCCAAGTCCTCTATTTTGGGTTTCATCCATACGTAGTTAACTAACGTTTAAAATGACCATGAAGGTATAGCTTTAAACACAATTCTACACGATAGAAGTATAACACAGAAGCAATAAAAAAATTACCATTGATGCTATTTTTAGAGTGGACTACTAGAGCCCAGGCCTCTATAAGCTTTCTTTTATAATTCATTACTATTTTTGGCATGAATATGAAATAGAGTGAATATTAAGTCTCTGGATTGCTACTACTCCTCTCAGAGGCCTTCAAGAGGTGCATAGAAGAACTACCTATTGAAGTTTGGAAAACACAGAGGCTAGAAGAATCAGTGCAATTCTATTATTGATTTACTGTTAATGGAGTAAGAGTCAATGCTTTAACTAGTAACAAAGGAGTCAAATCTCCTCGTGTTTCTAAGTGCCCTTAATCAGATTGCACCTTGGATGTTTAGCCTTGATCATATAAACTACTCGCGCTGGCTGCCGATTTAACATCAATCGTATCTGAAAGTAGCCTATAATTATAACGATTTTCGCCCCTCCGAATATGTTCCAGTTTGTAAATGCAGTAAGGCTACTTAGCAGTTCTGCTACTTTGGATAGTCAGCATTTTATACTAATTGTGTGAACTCTCAGAAGTAGCGGAATGTGAAAGTCACATTTTCTTGTACATGTGATAAATTGCATTGGCCTTGAGAGGCGAAAACTCGTACATATTTAAACATATCTCTTTAATTAACTGCGTTTTTTCATAACATTTTTCGGTGATTGAATAAATTGTATGAAGCTACATTTTAGTGTTTACATCAAAATTAGCTTTTTTAACAGTAAATGAAAAAGACTAATGAGCTTGGATCTAAGTATCCCATTCTGAAAAGAGAATCTAGGCGGAATTTTATCTCTCCGTGATACTTTAGTAGTGTATCACAAAATATAGAATGCTAGACTTTTTATACTAACTGGACTATCATTTGTAGCATCTAGAGGTGATATTCTACTTTGTTCTAAAAATACTGTTTGGTTAACCAAAAGGTAGACAGTCATACTATCATGTTTACAACAAAAACAAGTAATTGATTGTAGAAGAGCATTTACATAGAGGCCTAGAGCCCAGAATCCTTATCTAAAAATCGAATTAAAGATAATAATGTTTCTTTGTTATACTTTTACCGTATTGAATTGCGTTTAATTCTATACCTTATTAAACGTTAGTTGACTACGTATGGATGAATCCAAAATTGAGGAATTTGGCCAAGTATTGAGGAACTGTCGTTTGGATGTGGATTCCGAAATTCATGTCCTGGATGTTGGATTCACGTTCCGGACTATTGCAAGTTCCAGACCCATCTGTTGCTTCTACGCATGCGTAAAGGAAATGTTATGGTTTTGGCTGTGTAACGTGGTCACAAAATTAGTGTGGTCGCGAAGGAGGTAAATTCAAAGCAGCAAGGATGGCGAAGCAAATGTCTTTGAAAGCTGAAGATTTCATCGTTATTGCAGTATATTTCTTAGGTGTTCTCATCGTTGGAGCATGGGTGAGATTTATTTACTTGAATTCTTTATTCAGCATTATTTTTCTCCGACTCGATGAAGTTTGTTCTTGAACGAGCTTGTTGGTAGATCTCCCACATGCTTTTGTTGTGCATGAGGCAGACATGAATGAACACACCCTCTCACACACAATGTGAAGCTGGTTTGCGATCGCATGTACACATGCTTTGACACGCATGTACACTTTTTTCAAAGTCAGTTCAACATGCATAATTCTATTCATTACCCTTGTTGTTTCGTTAAATACATCAATGGAGTACCTACTCGAACGGCGAGGCAATGAGGAAGAAGTTTTTGTGAAATGAGAAGATTGCATTTTGCGATCCAAATTGAAATCCAATGCAGAAAAGAGGGTTAAGATTTTGCAAAGATTTGCACTGAAACACTTTTGACCTACACCTGATTTGATTAGACTTAAAATTTATCCAACTTGTTGATAATTTCAAAGTTGATGAGCCTTTAAATTTTGATAAATGATAAATTCGTCTTTGTTTTGATAATCATGCAGATTCATAGTTGACCCCTGTGTCGTACCACTGGTCGTACGCACGCATACCATAAATTAAATTAACATACCTCAATAATTGTATAAGAGGATTGATCCTCTTAGAGACAGACAATGCTTTTTCCTATTGCCGTTTACGCCAATAATGCAAAATCTTAGAAACACTACTCAATACTACTTATTTTCGCTCTTTTCCATTCATGTTGGATACATCAGGCTATTGAATACATTCTTTTGGGGGTTTGTATTCATGGTATTGTGCGCTAGAATGAATACCGTATTTCCTCTAAAGAACGCCGCGGCGTTTATTACAAACTCAAAATTTTTGATGCGGCGTTCAATAGAAGGCGGTGTTCATCAGAGGGCGGCGTTCAATACAAATGAGAAGTTTGTCAAATGAAAAATGACAAAAAAATGCGATGAAAAAAGACAAAAAGAATGTCAAGTCAAGTCAAGGAATGTCAATATCCCTGTCTCCTGTCAGTCACCTGTTCCTGTCAGAGTCCTGGTCTCTATGAAATAAAAACTTTCATCATATTCGAATAGTAAGCGTTTAAACGATTCCTTACTTTATGTTTGGTGTGTTTTCTAATGAATGCCATTTTTCAAAATGTGGCGTTCAGTAAAGGGCGGCGTTTATAAGAGGGCAGCGTTCATTAGAGGAAATGCGGTATGTCAACTACACATATTTTTTAAGAAACCATCTACACCTGACACAGGTTGGGAGGTAGGGACCAAGAGAAAGTTTAACACCCATAACAAAAGATTTTGTGAAAAGTTCCATTGTTTTGCAAAAGAGTGGGGGCATGGCCCCCAGCCCCTTTCATTGGAGGTCCTGTAATATGTAGTGATACCCATCAACCTAAACAAGCTGCTAAAATTCATCTTTAACAGATTGGATTAAATTGCCACTTTTTGTTGATTAGAGGCACCAATTGACATTGAACATTTGATAACAAAAACAAAAACTTTTTGCTTGTTCTATTTCATGTAATCTCGTGTATTGAAGTAACCTTGAAGAATCTTTTAGTATTAGAATAACAAAAAAATTTAAGAAACTTTGTGCTAATCTGAACCTTATTAGTTTCTAACAAAATGCATGTAGTTTGAATGACCTTCTTTTGGCACATTCATTGCTTCTACCCAATTATTTTTGTTACCAGCAGTGCCACTACAGACTAAATTTATTATAATTCCTTTTCTTTTATTGCATGATGTCCTATGACATTACCTTCCCAACAGTGGTAGCTGGCACGAAAATAAGACAGTGCTAGTAAAGCAAAAATGTTTTTAGCAGAGCGAACCAGCTAGAGGAAGGGTGGCCAGTACTAGTGGTACTACACTGGTACCACTTGTACCGCTGCAAGCCGCCACTGCTTCCCAACTGTGTCCACAAAACCACACCTAGTAGTCTCATGAACATAACTTAAAGCCTTACAACTTAAAGCTTTCTGATGTGTTCACCCAGAAAACACATGTTAATATGTCGATTGTTAAGTCAAGGACTTCTTCTGTAAAGCTCTATAGTCAACAGTGGTGTAGCGTGAGTTGCAGAAGTGGGTATGCGGCGAGGGGTCTGGGGCCTGCCGTGGGGTTGTGGGGCTAACAGGGGGCAAAGCCTCCGGAAGCTATAGCTTTTTAAAAAGACCTGATAGTTAAAATAGCGCTTTCTCTACATTCCTATCATGCCCAAACAGAACATCTACAACACACTTCGAAATAAAAATTATATAATAAAAACATTACAATTTTTACTACAGTCATATCAATACATATATTATCAAATAAGTGAAATATATACTGTACAATTCATAAAACTTAACAAACTAATAACCTACTTATACTACAGCTCAATCTGTCTTTTCTGACTTAAAAATTTGGATATAACTGCACTCCCCTATTACTCCCCTATTTCTTATATCAAAAGCAATTTGTCGTCAACTATTGCCTTTTTATCAACTAGCGCGTGAGTGGAATTATGTAACCAGCCCAATAGTTACTCGACTTCTGTCCGCCCCTTTTTTATTATAAAGTCAAAATGCATCACCATCCCCCCATTGAACCCCGAAGGGTGGATCAAGGGTTCAACAGTGCAAATTTCAATTTATAATCAAAGCAACTGTTTAAGCAGAGAAACTGTTTTCTTGTTCATAAAAGGCATTTATTTCCCTTTGTACTCTATCTTTTACTGCTGATCTGTCTTTTTCCCTATCAGCAACTTATCCTACTTGTTATCAATGTTCCAAATGATAAGATATCTCTATGATGACGCCTGGCTGGCAACCTTAATTTATATACAGTTTTCTTGTTTATTCCAAGCATGCAGAAGTCTAACCAAATACCCTGATATTATGAAACCGTCATTTCCTGCCTTTTTTGACCTTAAGTTTTTATTAAAAGTAGACTCAATGGCAGTACCAATTAATAATCTAGTTTTCTATTGCATGATTGCGGCCATTTTTTGAAGAGCAGAGAGAATTGGGCTTTAGATAGGAAGTAACTGGTCTCAGCTAGCTTTATGTGCACTTGTTTCGTAAGCCAATTCAGGCGACCATGTACTGTGAAATAGGGAGTCAGGGAATGTGGTCACAGATTAAAACTCTACGTTGCATGCTATCTACAAAATTGTCTCTATGTACCAAGGGATATGTAACAATGTAGTGTACTATGTGGAAGAAAAGTTAGGCATAGAAATTGCAAGTAGCTGCTTTTGCCTTGTAAGAATGTAAGCTTTGAATTTCTTTTGCCATGTGAAATGTACCGATCTATTTGAATAATATGAGAAAATTGCTTTTATTGCTAAGGTTTGTGGTTTGATTATGACAATGCCTGGTATCAATTTCTTAAAATAGTTTCATATGACTAGATTTCTAAGATTTCTTTTATTTTTTCCCAGTCTATGTGCAGAACAAATCGCTCAACAGTGAGTGGATATTTCCTTGCTGGACGTTTTATGACCTTCATTCCAGTAAGTTGATATTATATGACAATTTTTTTTGGATATCACATTGTTGCAAGTGAGACCATGTTGATTATATATGTTCTGTTTTTCCTTTTGCCATATCTGCTAAAGCTAGACGTTTGGTATTAAAATCATCAGGCTATTAAAATTTGATCACTGTATTTAATCTACATAGTTCAGTGGCAAAATGTTTTTTTAAACCATCTTGAAATTGTATTTTGAAAAATCAAGCAGTCAAGCTCACAGTTGTATTTACCTGGCATTAAAAACAGGTTGCTTTCTTTTCTGTTGACAATAAATTTTTCACACACACACAGAAATCAACCATGTGCCTATAAGTTTCAAAGAGCTGAAAATCTCTAGTCCATAAGGTTCAAGGTTGGTGCAAGGATAGCTTAGTGGTTAGGGTTGCTGGATACATATTCAAGGGTTCATGGATTGGAGTCCCTGAGATGACTAAACTTTCTCTTAGACTGAGGAGAGTTGCCAACTCTCTGTAATTTTAGGTGTTGGAATCACAAGGTGTGGTCACATTGGGAGGAAGAACCTGGACACTGCTCAATAAACATATATTTTGAAGCTAGGTTGCAAGCAATACAGTATAATACAATAAAATACAGACCCTGTTTCTGGTAATGCTACTCCTGTCCTGGTGCTACTTCTACCACCTCTCACCTTAACAAAGTAGATATAATGAATAAAAACACCAGGCTTTGGTTAGAAGTTATGTGGTGCTGGTGTTTCATTGGTCATTTTACCTTCAAGGTTGGGATGTCACTCTTTGCTAGTAATATTGGCAGTGAACATTTAGTCGGATTGGCTGGATCTGGAGCTGCAGCTGGTATTGGTGTTGGCGCTTTTGAATTCAATGTAAGTTGAAATTTTTTACGTAGCCCTGATCTTTTAGAGGTTTTTATTAAAGCTTCAAATTTTTTCATTATTTAGAAGATTACCTCTAAAGTTTGCCGTTATAACACATTTGTGCAAACAATTCATAATGCAAAAGAATGTGATGTTTTCTTAACTTATTATCAAATGCTGCATCTTATTTTGTTAGTCTTAAGATCTGAATTTTTATCCATGATGTTGCCTCATTCATTGGGTTTTCTTGAAATCTAATTATGTTCTCCATTTAAATGCCTCTTTTGCGGAGTTTTTCTTGAGATCCAAATTTCCGCATCAAGTTATTTTTTCCACAGAGTCTTTTTGAGATCTGAACTTTTCCATCACATTACCACGTTCAAAGTTTTCTTAAGATTCAAGTTTCTGTGTAAATTACCACTTCCATACAATTCTTTTTGATCTGAATGTTCTCCATGCCACTATCTCTTTATCTAAGTTTTTTGTAAATCTGAATTTCTTGATCGATTTTTTTACTGAGCCTTCAAATATACCATTAGTAACATGTCATCAGAAAATTGTTTTACGTTTGTGTCTGATTAAACCGAAGGAAACTTGCTAGCCTTAAACAGCCATCTTACATTTCTTTCTTCACAGGCCTTGTTGCTTTTGCAATTACTTGGTTTTGTTTTCCTTCCAGTCTATATTGCCAGTGGGGTATGTTATGCTTATTTGCTATGTTATTGTATTTAGATTTATCAGGCCTTGCTCTAAGCAAAATTATGGTGCTCTATAAAATGAGATTCAATGGGCTCTATCTCACACCATGGAAAGGGTTGACTAAAAATTTCAACACGGTTAACAAATAGCAACAAATTATGAAACAGATAACATTGAATCTCTAACAACATTTAGACTATATTGAAATTGTGTTGTTTTGAGTCTTCATGATATGGAGAATGTTTATTACTTTTGGTATCACTGCCACTAGATAAAGCACCTTTATGTGTTAGACCTTACTTATTCATAATTGCTGCTTTAAGGTGCACATCAACATAATATATTTTCCCATTCCAATTTATTTGAATTTTTGAGATGATGTGGTGCTAACAGCTATTTCAATGTAAATTGATGTTTGAGGGGATTTTTGGGTCAATATTCATGGACAAATATGATCCACAGATATCTCTATTCTGAGACCTGATCTTGTGCTAAATCTCTGGAGATAATTGGAATAGAATAGAATCTAAGAACTTGATGATTATTTTGTGGACAGCATTTGACAAACTGAATTGTAGATAAAATTTATCAGTGATATTTTATTTTAAACCTTTTAACCCCATTGGTTTTCTAAAGCTTTGGGTGTTGTTAGTGCTCTCTTAAAACGAATTGATATTAAAGAAAACTTAACTGTATAGATAAGAAATACCGTTTTATGCTAAATATACTCTGCCAATTAATAATTGTTATGATTGTTTTCAGGTTTGCACGCTTCCTGAGTACATCCATAAACGCTTTGGTGGACATCGGATTCGGGTTTTCCTTGCAATGCTCTCCCTATTGTTATATATTTTTACAAAGATATCTGTGAGTGAACTTTGCATTTAATCTAAGTATCAATCTTTATGCATTACACAAATGAATGGCAGGTGAAATGTGTTGTTGATGTAAACATTATTTTTAGCATAACAATTCTTGTCATGGACGTATCAAGTAGAACAATTAGAAATTATAACGAAAGCATACAATCAATCAAAGGGAGCCATTTTTGCTGTGCCTTTACCAGGCACCATGCCCACTGACAGGGTAGAGCAATTGCAGTTGGGGTGCTTACAATTTGAAGATAGGATATGCATTGATCAATACATATAGATGATAGAGGCGCCCGAAGCTTCGTGGTGCGGCGGGGGCAGGAACTGCAGAAAGGGCACCTAGGGTGTATTGAAGTTTGCTGCTGAAACATATCAAGAATTTTCGTTTAGCCAACGACGAAGCCTGGTTGTAGGTGAAGGCGCTGCAAAGGGAGACAGGCTAGGTGGTCTGGGGGGGGGGGTAGCCCCTAGGGAAATTCTGCGGTGTTCCGCCCTAAAGACTTTCAGAGATGAAAACAATAAGGGCATCCATAAATTGGGCACTTGGCTGCCCCCGTGCTCCCGTGGCTCCGGCGCCCTTGATAGATGCGTTAAATAATGTTGTAAGAGCTACCGTTGGGTTTGATCTTAGTATGGTTAATGGGCTATCTCTTTAGGAGGTAATTGCTTTCAGCGCGATCGCTGTAGTCTCATGTTGTTGACAACTTACTATTAGCAAAGCTGTTTTTGTAAATCAGTATAAGTTGAGTTCATGTGACCAGTTCAAGGCCCACCAATGGCATTCCAACCTGGAAATCATGACAAAGCATATTTGGGTGTACCCTTTCAATTTATTATGACTCGATATCTTTTGGATTCTAAAAAATAGCAAAAAACCTTTATGATTTATTGACATTTCGTTTTTTAGGTGAATATGTATTCTGGTGCTTTATTTATTCAACAATCTGTTGGTTGGAATTTATATTTTGCCATATTGTTTTTACTGGGGATGACAGCTCTTTGTACAGTATCTGGTATGTAAATTGATATTTCATTATTGTTGATATTAATCAATATTGTTTTAATACAGTAAGTCCCCTCTTTAAAGAAACTCGGATTTTTAAATCAGGCTGTTTGCACTCCTTTTTTATAAGAAACAGTAAATTTAAGTTCAGGCTCACTGTTCTTAATTTTTTCGAAAGTCTGAGGCTGGATTGTTCTTAATTTGTTCTTAATCTAATAGGCTGTAAGCAATGCGAGTGCTAGCTTCTTCGCTCTAGGGTGGTATTCAGGCCTCATTTGCCAACAAAGTGAGTCAGACAGCCTTAATTTGCTGACAAATGTGAATATTCATCGAAAAAGCACTCACACATCGCTAAAAATCCTCGATTTTGAAATAAACGTTGTCCGAAATTGCATTTTGCTGAAGCTCAGCCTCAGCTTGTTCTTAATTTGTTCGTAACTTTTGACCAATTTTGAGGCTCGTATTCTTAAAAAATTGTTCTTATAAAAAAGTAATATAGTTTCGTATATGCAAAAAAATATTTTTAATCGAGGCTGGTTGATTTCTTATCTAGCCTTCTAGAAGCTCTTTTTACAAAATGCTTTCTTGTCAAAAAAACACATCATTTAATTCAAAGATCAAACTGCCTATTATACAAGAATATGTGAAATGAACAGCATGATTTAAGTATGATCCTCTCATATTCATTTGATATTGGATTTTTTTTATTTCTCTCCATTTATAAGAAATTGGAAAACAATTAGACTTTCTGATTTTTTTCACGAAAAAGAAAATATTCTCTATGCTGACAGGTTGCAGTTCCTTATTTGTCCATTTCTTTTGAGTGAAGACTTTCTGCATTCCATAGGTAACTGATGTATTTAATTTTTGGCCTTTTGTAAAATTTAAACTCCATAGCAAGCAGCAAAAATGTTATTTGAAAGTTTGATTCATACCAATTTTTTGGTTTTTATTTTCATTAGTAGAAGCTTATGTGCCGAAACGGGTTCTGGGTTCTTTACAGGCATATGTAATAAAGTCTTCAATAGGCCTATGCTATACAGCTTTAAAAAAGCTTATAATTTTTTTTTCAATGATATTGTTTTGGTGTTCTCAATAATTTGAATCTTTCGTTCTTAAGGTGGGCTGGCAGCTGTTATATATTTAGACACATTAATGGCTACTGTTATGGTCGGAGGAGCATTGCTTATGACTTTTATGGGTGAGTGAACTGTCCCCTATATCATCTTTTTGTCAGAAAACTTTTTTCACATTTACAATGTTCGATTGTTATCGTCAAAAGTACTTTGGAAAAGCATTCCTGAATTGAAGGTTATTTAAAAAGAGTTCTTAGCTTAAATAGAATCAATAAATGAGGTTATGTTCTGAGTGCTACTGCTAGAAGTGCCTGTTTTTAACTTAAATGTAGGAGTGGAATATAGAACTTTTCAGGAAATGGCAGATTGAAATGCACTGTCCAACCTTATATTTGCCAAGCATCAAAGTGTATGCAGTTTCAGGCCCCAGTAACGCAACACCGGAATACTTTTTTATTCATACTGGTTTTCACTCCGGAATCGAGGTGTCAGTTACCGACTTTGGATCGACTTTCACTCATCTTTGCGCCCCTGTTACACAACACAACGCCAGATGACCATGTTCTGCAAAGATATAAAGCGGCGGTTTTTTTACGAGGAGCTTGTCATGAGTATCTGATTTTAACACACAATGACTTTGGAGTTAAATCACTCTGGTATTGTCAGTAATACGAGATGGAATGCCAGGTGGTGAACTTCGGATCGGTTTTCGTTTCATCACCAGAATGAGATTACTTCCACATCGGTTTTGTAGAGTGAAACCCAAATCTTTTTTCGGAAGTGAAAACCAATCCGAAATAGACCGGTCCTAATCCGGTGTAAGTCAGGCCTTAGAAATAGAATTGATCTTAGCTGAACATGCTGTCGCCATTTTTTCTCTTTCTTGAGATGACTATTGAAATTATATCAGCATGTAAGCCTTCTACCAAATGAGGATCATTTTGAGGTTTTGAAGTTTGTGTGCTTGATTGCTTTTCTGAGCATGTCAAATTCAACTTTCAAGTACAGTAAATCCTCCCCCCCCCAAAAAAGGGTGCATATGGTCATTTCAAGTTCAAAGGTTCTTATTCTGAAAGGTACCATCCTCCTGTTTTGGGGGGAGAAAAAAACCAAAATATCACATATGAATATACTTCAATTCAGCTTTGTCATCTGAGACACAAATATGTTTCAAAACAAGCAATGCAGAGTTTTGTGAATTTTTTTGTTAGAAGTTGCCAACACGCAGACTAGTGTCAAGTGTACCTAGGTCAACATGCACAACTTCATGACTATCCCTTATATATGAAGAATCTCACCCTAAAAAAAGGTTCTTAGACACGAGTTGCTTATCAAAGATAAGTCAGTCTGTTGGTTCTAAGGTCCTTTTTTTGCGGGGATATTAAGTAATAAAGATTGTATAGTTATATGCACAATAATTTCCGAAAGCTGACAGTTAAAGTTGCTTAAACAAGAATCCCGCATTTTGGTATTCAACTCAGTTCAAATGGTAGTTTTGCTTATACTTCGCAGTACAGCTACTAGTCCACTTGACTCGTTTTCAGAAAAGTCTATGAAATCGTGGAATTTTTACAACTCCCTTCGGATGGCTTGAATTTTCTTTCAAACCCAATTCTCGCGCGTTTCTTATTACCGTCATTATTTTTAGGTTTCGATAAAGTTGGAGGGTATAGTGGCCTTCGAATTAAGTACATGAACGCTATGGCTTCAGATGTTATTGCGGGGAACCATACATGTGGTGGTGTTCCAAGGCCGGATTCCTTTGTTATGTTGAGGGACCCGGGTCACTCGGATATGCCCTGGCCCGGTTTTCTTTTGGGCCAGACTCCTGCCTCAATATGGTACTGGTGTGCTGATCAGGTAAGGTGGTAAAAGTACACTTAATTCCATCATCAATGATAATCATATTCGTATTGAAATTCATTTATCATCGTTTTTGTCATCATTGCGTCGTCATTTCATCTTAGTTGTGTTGTCCTTGTGTCGTTGTTGCGTCGTAGGTATTTTGCCGTTGCATCGTCGTTTTGTCGTCTTTGTGTCATAGTTGTGTTGTCGTATTGTCGTTGTGTCGTCGTTTGCGTCGTTACATCGTAATCGATTTGTCGTCGTCATGATTATCGTTATTGATCACCATAATCCCTTCTCGATCAGTTGCATTTAACCAATTGCGTCGTCATCATTATAGCATCATCATTTTCTATGTATGGCTATATAAACAAAAGTTTGTTTCTGTTCAAGATTTATTCACTTCCTTTGATGTGTGCACAGAAACGGTATTTCGTCGATATCTTATGAAATACATTGACACCTTGTTTATGTATTTCGTCGGCTACAAGGTTCTTCATCTCCCCGCTGCTTTTTATAACTACTCCTATCGCTCCTATCTGCGATATCGCTAGATAAACCTTGTATGGATAGAATTATTTGTTGCAGGTAATCGTACAAAGAGCATTGGCTGCCAAGAGCCTATCGCATGCCCAGGGTGGCTCTCTTCTTGCTGGGTATATCAAGATTTTGCCTCTTTTTATCATGGTGTTTCCTGGAATGATCAGCAGAGTCCTTTATCCTGGTACGTGTGTATCCATTAGGTCTTTTTTATTGATCTCCCACTCTCTCAAGATATTAGAATAAAGAGAGGTGCAAATTAGCAAAGAACGAAGTAACGCCAGATATTATTTCTTATGCATTTATCTAAGACATTACGCTGACTGGTAAACTCTTAGATACGAATAATAATGTACGTATCTCTTGCCAACCTCCGAAAAGAACCTACTGTAATGTTAATAGAAGGGGCGTGAGTCTACACCCAGTGTGAAACTTTTTTTTTCACCCAAATATTACCAGTTCTTATGCCTTGTTTTGCCCCAAGAAGGCATAAATTGCCTAATGCATTCTGAAACACGATTTTTAATAAGCTGGAGAAGATAAGTATTCCCTTATCATAGAAATCTCCTCTCGCAACGCATAAATCCTATGGAATGATTATCTTAACGATTTTTTGACTAGAAATTTAATCACTTTTTAATCGACTTTCTGATTTTGCTAATCAGTAAACATTTAGAATTTTAGAATTCTATAACTCTGCTATTTCTTTTACTGATATATAATTAACTCTCATGCAAAAGTCCTCTCTTCGCATTGATATCTAAATGTATTGGCATTTAAGTTTAGAATCCTGACTGTCAATTTCTCGACTATGAATGCAATGTGCTCCAAACAAACGTTTCGCTTTAGAACAGTTTGATACATTGAGATAATTGTGAGTGTTACATAACGTATTAAGACAATCTCTTCATATAATCTTTAAGAAGTCATATTTAAGTACCATGCCTGGCAAGATACCAGCAGTACTTTTATTATTCAGTTTAGCAGTTTCTTGTCTCTTCTTTAAAACAATGTTGGATTGCTCTCCATAGCATTACATTATTCCAATGTAACTTGTAACTTTAAAACTAGTATGGTTGTGGTGCAATCTCGGGGGGAGGGGGGGGGGTACCTTAACATGTTTGAAGGTACGGGGACGTGCCATTATTTAGGGATACCTTTTTTTTGAAAAGCGCGGAATTATCGTTATCAGTTTTTGAAATTTGTGCGGAACTATGGGTACCATTTGAAGAAACATGCAGAATTATGGGTACCATTTTGGAAAAATATTGCAAAATTATTAGGAGGGATATTTAGCATTAAAAAATGAATGACCAGTTAGAAATAAAACTATGAAATCTGTGTAATATTGAGATTTTGGGCAAAATTTGTTTAATGATTTTATGTGCTTTAAAAATTTTATTTGCTTTGCGGAATTATGGGTATAGTTTTCACCTTGTTTGCGGAATTATGGGTCACATTTTTTTCAGACATTTGCGGAATTATGGCTCCAAATTTTTAACCAAAATGGCACGTCCCCGTCAAAAAATACGCTTAGTTTAACCCCCCGAGGGTGCAATTCCAACATTGTTTTATTGGGGGGAGGGGGGAATTTAGCTATATCTATAGGCGTGAATTGAATACATGTCAAGAATGAACGGAAACTGCTTGATTATTCCCAGTACTTGTTTAAGCATCTCTGAATTCAGCCTGAAGACTCATGTAGCGATTACTTTTGTCGATTACAGTTTTACTTTGTGCTTTTAAATTCTTCAGCAGTATGCATAAAGACTGTTTCGCATTCTTATCTTATAAACAGAACATCAAACTTTACAGGTTTCAAAGAGGGGAAGGGGTGCTGGAAAATAGAACGATTTGCAGCAATTTCTTCCTTGCAGCGTGCTATTTTGTTGTTATTTTGTATTAACGGTTAAACTTTGTTTGTAGACGAGGTCGCTTGTGCCAATCCCGATAAATGCTTTGAAATATGTGGAAGCAGAGCTGGATGTTCCAACATTGCATATCCCAAATTGGTCCTTGGAATTATGCCTACAGGTGAGTAATTTGTCTTTGATTTTAGGGTAGCAAATATTTACAACTAATAACTGGATATGAAATCGGAAAACTTATGAAAAGTTCTTGCAGAAATCCCGTTGGTCTTTGCGCTCTCTATCCATAATGACTTTCTCTTGCAGTGTATTGGTCGTCGAGATGTGTATTAACGATTTTGTTTTCAGATGGATCCCAACTACCCTTTGAAGTATTATCTGTCTTTCAAGCTCCGTTTGTATGGGTCAGGATCGAACCGGATTAAATCTCAATGTTCGGATCGAACCGGATAGGAGCTGTTTTAAAAACCATTTACCTTAAAATTACCAAGTTATTTTGAGTTGTCCTAATGTTAGTTTATGTAAAGGTTAGTCCCCAATGAAAGTGAATATGTGCCAGTGTGAGCCAGTGTGATACGTGTGTGGTCCGGTAACAACTTGACCCGTTCAGATCTCAGTTAAACCTGGCCTTAAAAAGCTCTTTGGAGGCCCGTCATTGTTTACCAGAATATTAAAAGCTAGTCCAGGTTTAATCCAAACAGTATGCAAACCGTTGCCGACCTCTGCATCCTCAGCTGTTGGATCCTAGGCACAAGCACGATGCGATCGATACACATAGTTCTTGCAATGTTGTATGAAACGCGACTGATATTCTATACAAAGGCCCCATTTCAAACAGATCTTTTGCCATTTGGGGGCATCCGCCCCCTCTTGTCCCCCCTACGCTAAACTACATAGCAGTACTTCTTAAATTCAATGGCTTATTTTAAAACTGGGTGTTACCGATGTTTTCATGTTTTTTTTCGTTGTTGGGACACGACTTTCGTGCTGCGACTTTTTATTAAACCATCCCAGCTGTTTTGAGCGGATTCCATCGTTAGTTTCTCGAGCTCTTTACTTTAGTTTAATTTTTAGCTTAAATATATTTTAGGACAAGTCAACCATGAACATTTGCCTGATGATTGCATTAAGTGTGAAACTTGGAGTTGCAACTTAAAACCGTCTTTTGCTGTAAACCAAAGCTTCAATTATAATGATATACGATTTTGTATTGCTTTTCCAAAGGCCTACGTGGTTTGATGATGGCAGTGATGATGGCTGCATTGATGAGCGACTTGACATCAATTTTCAATAGTGCCTCTACTTTGTTTACAATTGATATATGGAAACGCATTAGAAAGAATGCTAGCACGAGAGAGCTCATGATTGTTGGCAGGTAAGTCCCGAATCGATACCCTGTTTTGAATATCACGCTAAGATTCTAAGGTAAAGGGTGCCTTTGATATCAGACCCAAAATCAGACTGTTTGAATTTTTATTTCCAAGAATCGGCACTTGGTTACGCCTCTCAATTTAATTTTTCTCCACTTGAACTATTATCAATAAAAATTTCAAAATTTGACAACGTAAAAGCTATAGAAATGTAAAATACAAAAATTCTTTTGCAATAAAGACTTCAAATAGTAATAGCATTATTTAGAATTGTTCATTAGTTAAGAGTGACAGGGATTTTCAAGCTGACTGAAAATTTATGGGGAAACTTATTATAGCATTCTCTTTTTCAGTTTAATTTTCATAAATCTGTACACCACATTCAGCGTAGAATTAAGAACCTTAAATTTGGCATAAAGCTGTTCTTGTTATTATATTTCCTCCAAACCTATCCTGTAATGTTGGTTGCGCTGCTCCCCTTGTGTGGGGAATCCCCCCTCACAACAGACTCAGTGTTATTGATGGTGTCATGGCTTCCCTTTTCATTTGATAAAGAGAAGTGAGTGACACAGCTTTAGGCTTAGATTTGAAAATGTGAACGGGCAGCTCAGATGGTATAGCAAACGACGTACAGTTCTCTACTCAAGGCTCGAGTCGTGCTCTGATCATCTCACTAACTCTCAATTTTCTCTCAGTATTCTCTCACAAATCCATGTTTAATTTTGTAAATTGTAGCCATAAAGCCTAATATGTAGTATTAAAATAATTCTTGTATCATAGATACTGAATTTATTTCAGCATTTACTACATTTATTACAAGAGAAATCATTCTAGGGTCATTCCATGTCAATTCACCGAGGCCATGTCACCCACCATCTCAGATTTTGCTAATTTTCATATATCATGTGCCAACTGATAAGAATAGTTCATTCTCAAAATTTCAGACCATTATCTTTAGTACTTTTTGAGATATCCAGATTTGAATTTTCAAGAATTTTGAGGTAAAATTACCAGTATCCGCCATCTTGGATTTTCATACAGAGGACAACTAAAAACCCAACTCTAATATCTGAAAAGAAAATGACCAGAACATATCAAAATGAACTTATTTATGTAAATTCAGCTATGAGGAATTCAAAAATGACATCAAAATGAATATCTGACAGATCTGAAAGATTCTATTTATAGAAATCTCTGCAGGGGTTGAAAAATTGAAAGATTCCGAAAAGACAATTATGTCAAATTTCATTTTGGAATTTCATGATGTTTGACAGGTAGCACCAGAATGAATTTTTGCAGTTAAATTTGAGGTACATTGAGGTACCAAAATATTGAATTCTGACTTGGTGTCTCTTCTTGTTCAAGAGCTACAAGCATCTAAAGTAAACAGAAAATATTGTCAAGTTTCTTGTGCGAAAGTTCCTTTTTTAATGTAATGTGTATGTTTGTAGACATATAACCAGCAATATTTGAAGTTTAATCAACTCATTCTGTGTACACAATAAGCAAAGTATTCATTTAAATTGAAGATTTGTTATCTATCACTTTTTTACAGTGGATAATGTACAGTGGACCACACCCACTTATGGGTGCGGCAAAATTGAACACCATTGGAAGGCTGTATTACTTAAGAAATTTTCAGACTTCACTCGAAAAGGTTGCAAATAAACACTTTTTCCTTGAAGCTACAAGAAATCAAAAGCACAAAATCTTTTTGATAGTGCTCAAGGTAAAAAGTTTGTAGAAACAGGTATAAAATTACAATCTAATTTCATTTTATCTTGAATACATGAATATACCAAATTGTAAGTTTTTCAAAAGTGTCCAAGTTCTTATTGGCTCACTTTTGTAAGAAAAAAAAAATGCCTTACAGGCTCGTCATAATTTCCTTGATTTTCGTGAGATCTTTGTCTGCAATTTTATATTGTCACCCAGTTGCTGTGAAGGGTGTTTCTATCTAACTAGAAATGGTAGAATATGTCAATTCGAAATAAACAAAATTTTAGCAGATATGTTAGCCCAGTTCTTTATTGCTTATCAGTTTTGTTGTGTTGCAGAATGTTGGCTATCTACACCTATAAATCTTTTCATAAAATGGCGGCAATATTCGTTGTCGACGGGAACTTAACTACAATATTGCTTAATAGATGTTATCAGTAATTGTATCTTATTGATGTTTAAATTGAGTTAAAATTTTAAAACATAATTACTAAACTATTCAGTGTTGTAAATGAAATATGGCTCAGTGTTGAAAAGCTACGATGAATAAAATTGCTTGATTTACGGACCTTGAAAAATCACGTTAGTGAAACATAATCTTAGTATCCGCTTATGATGGTAAAGTGATAATAATCAGCATGATGGAATCTGTAAGCATCAGTTTGTAGCCAGTTAGTGCTTCCTTATTTCCATTCAAAACGGAAATAAAGTTTCCGCACTCTGTTTTGTCAAGTTTTAGTAACGAGAGGCAGAAAGATTTCTATCGCGTTTAAAAAAATGTCTGTAAGTAAGTTTCTGGAAAAGTGTTCAATTGGCAGTCATCTGCAAGAAGAGTTTCACTCTCGATTCTACACAAGATCAGTTGGGATAAAAACAAGCAACTCGTTGACTAAAGAGCAAGCGGAGTTAATTTCTTCAAGAACAGGTCTGGAAATAGGACCCGAATTTACAATTTGTCACCATCACGAACAAACAGTTTTAGCGCAGTACAGCGCTTTTCAGAAGAAGTGCTGCGACCCCTTCCAAAAGCATAAGAATCCTGTTAAAGGCTCTTTGAGGGAAGTGTCAATAGTATCTTCGAAAAGCTATCATAAAATCAATATTTACGTGGTACCTGGACAAAAGTTATGCCCAACTTATCGGAGAGAGATGTCTGAAAGATTGAAAACCTCAGAAGGGAATGATGATGATAATGATCCAGATGTATGCTTTCCAGAAAGAGCTTGGGAACAACAGAATTAAGACCTTGACTTAACACTTGAAGATATTGACGTTAGTCCGATAAAGCAGCATTCTGTTCCGCAGCATTTAAGAGCTTCTTATGGCAAACGCAAACTCGACGAAGTAAAAACCAAACTGACCGAAAAGCAATCAAAAATCTTAAACGTTGTTGCAGAAACTATAGACGTCATGCCCTATCAACTGATGGACAGTGAAGAAGCTGAAAGCGATTATTGTGACACTGAAAGAAAGGCAAAGGATTTTGACGAAATAATCAGTTTAATGAAGGACAAAATACGAATATTGCCACCATTTTATGAAAAGATTTATAGGTGGAGATAGCCAACTTTCTGCAACACAACAAAACTGATAAGCAATAGAAAACTGGGCTAACATATCTGCTAAAATTTTGTTTATTTCGAATTCACATATTCTACCATTTCTAGTTAGATAGAAACACCCTTCACAGCAACTGGGTGACAATATAAAATTGCAGACAAAGATCTCACGAAAATCAAGGAAATTATGACGAGCCTGTAAGGCATTATTTTTTTCTTACAAAAGTGAGCCAATAAGAACTTGGACACTTTTGAAAAACTTACGATTTGGTATATTCATTTATTCAAGATAAAATGAAATTAGATTGTAATTTTATAACTTATATATTCTACAAACTTTTTACCTTGAGCACTATCAAAAAGATTTTGTGCTTTTGATTTCTTGTAGCTTCAAGAAAAAAGTGTTTATTTGCAACCTTTTCGAGTGAAGTCTGAAAATTTCTTAAGTAATAAAGCCTTCCCATGGTGTTCAATTTTGCCGCACCCATAAGTGGGTGTGGTCCACTGTACATTATCCACTGTAAAAAAGTGATAGATAACAAATCTTCAATTTAAATGAATGCTTTGCTTATTGTGTACACAGAATGAGTTGATTAAACTTCAAATATTGCTGGTTATATGTCTACAAACATACACATTACATTAAAAAAGGAACTTTCGCACAAGAAATTTGACAATATTTTCAGTTTAATTTAGCTGCTTGTAGCTCTTGAACAAGAAGAGACACCAAGTCAGAATTCAATATTTTGGTACCTCAATGTACCTCAAATTTAACTGCAAAAATTCATTCTGGTGCTACCTGTCAAACATCATGAAATTCCAAAATGAAATTTGACATAATTGTCTTTTCGGAATCTTTCAATTTTTCAACCCCTGCAGAGATTTCTATAAATAGAATCTTTCAGATCTGTCAGATATTCATTTTGATGTCATTTTTGAATTCCTCATAGCTGAATTTACATAAATAAGTTCATTTTGATATGTTATGGTCATTTTCTTTTCAGATATTAGAATTGGGTTTTAAGTTGTCCTCTGTATGAAGATCCAAGATGGCGGATTCTGGTAATTTTACCTCAAAATTCTTGAAAATTCAAATCTGGATATCTCAAAAAGTACTAAAGATAATGGTCTGAAATTTTGAGAATGAACTATTCTTATCAGTTGGCACATGATATATGAAAATTAGCAAAATCTGAGATGGTGGGTGACATTTCCATTTTTTTCTTGGTGATTTGACATGGAATGACCCTCTAGCATTTACTACCGGCAAGGAATTTTCACGCCTTTCGAATCACGTGCATCTTCCACTGAGACACAGATACACACATTTTCCCTTTAAAGATACCCAAGATTAACTAATCTTGATTACAGATGTGAATATTCCCTTTCAGAGCATTTGTTCTCGTCATGTGTGTGATCGGAATATGTTGGGTGCCAATTATAACGGAGTTCCAGGGTGGACAACTCTTTATATACATCCAAGCAATCAGCGCTTATCTCGCCCCACCAGTGGCCTCTGTCTACCTCATTGCCATATTCTGGAAAAGAAGTAACGAACAGGTTTGCTATTGTTCGTGTTCTTTCGATGAATTTCATTTCATGTTGCATGGCTCCGGATGGCATAGGTATCTGTGTTATGTAGAAACATGTTGGAGTTTACGAGAATTACTTTTCGCTCTTTAATCCGGTTTAGTCTGACCGGTTAGGAAATGATCCGACTTAGCGAATGCCCGACTTATCCCGGATACGGAAATCCAATGAGAATTGAAAACCAGTCCGATTAAGTGAAAGTCTGAGTTATCGGGGTACGACTTAATATGATTCAATTGTAGATGTTAAATGGTTGTGCCTTGTAGTTTGGTCGTTAGCTTGCCTATACAAAAAACATAGAAAAACAGATTCTCATGCTATTGTCGTTTTAGAAAGTTCTGTAAAGTTTCACTTTCTTGTTGAATATTTTTCGGAGCTCTAACCACTTCGTTTTACGTTCCACTTCAAATTAAAAATACTTGATTTTAAAATCCTACCGGTCATCTGAATTAGTTGCCATCCGAAATCCTAACTATCCTGCCAATGATTTTATCATCTTTTAGGGAGCATTCTGGGGTTTAATGTCTGGCTTTATCGTTGGTGTCACCAGAATGGTTCTTGACTTCGTATATCAAGCACCCGAATGCGGTGTAAAAGATACCAGACCGATATTTGTCAAAGATTTCCATTACATGTACTTTGCCTTGATGATTTTCCTCCTCACTGGTATCGTCTGCATTGTTGTCAGTCTATTGACGCCAGCCCCGGATCCAGAAATGGTAAGTCCCTTTTGATATACCTCATTTTCCGATCCACAGTTTCATTTTTGGCTTTAACCAATGGCGGCGTGTTAAATTCGAAATATTCATTATGTATAAATTATCATAATCGATTGTATAATTGAGGCCTCGTTCCCTAAAAAGCTTTATGTTATGGGTGAGCTTTTTTTTCTCTCAGACATTTTTCTGTTTCATGGTAGATAACACCGATGGCACAATGAATATTTTGAAGGCAACAGCGCCCCGGGGGAACTGGGATAAAAGCCCCCACCTTCCCAGTTCTCGGCAAGAGCAATATTATATCATTTAAGTTTGATACGGTAATTATAGGGGAGGGGTAATGATATTCTGCTTACGTATTCTTTCTGATGTCATCCTAGAATTTTGAAACTGCCTTCTACTGAGCCAAAAATTATTCATGGCCGTTATTCATTTTTGGTAAGATTTGTGTTCCCCGTTGGCGAAACGGCTTAGCCTAAAATTTCTTTTTTGTCTTCCACAGCCTTGTGGCTGGTGTCACCACTGAAAGTAACTGATGCTATTTTAATATACGAATGCCATAAAATTTATTGCACTTTGTGTTCAAGCCATGTGCATACCCATTCTGCTCAGGCTTAGGTGCTTCTGGAGATTTTTGTGTGTCTTCAAACCTGTTTCAATATCAAATAAAGTATATTAATTGATTAAATCTAGGGTTTGCACATCAACATTACCATCGTTATTTGCTTAGTCTACACATCCATTACACAGGTTACTATCTTATGGTATCGCATAGAATAAGATAGATAACTTTACAGGGACAACTTTACAAAACATCTTGAAGCTACAATTTCCTAAAACCCATATGATTTCGTTGGGGAAACATTTTTGGTTTCAAGTCAACCCAATCAGTGTTAATTTCATTTTAGACATATCTCTACTGCTTTACTTCGGGCATTGTTAATGCAGCTACGCTTTTTTCTCACTTTAAATGAGCCTAATCGTGTGAGATTTTTGTTTTTCGCTTGTCTTATCATTTGTTTATCGCTGTAGATTGTGCGGACAACGTTCTTTACACGTCACGACCCGACTATCCGGTCAGACGAAATACAAGAAGAGGCTGAAATGAAGCAGATCGATGCGGAGGAGCAAAAGCACCGTGCTGAGCATGGACATACGCATCAAGACAATGAATCTGCATTGTGGGTGAAGGAAAATGACACTGTCAATTTGAAGGAATCGGGTAGGTTTTCCACTCAAACTGCAAACATGAATAAATGTTAAGTAATTGTTAAGAATCTTTTTCTCATATATTCATTCCATAAAAAAATTATGGCGGTAATCACCTGCTATCTCAGCATTGGCTAAATTTGTTATCAATTGTTGGTATTATTTAAAAATGAAACTGCCCAAAATTTGAGGCCAATATCTTTTATGGCTTTTGCCCCCAAATTTTGACCAAAAGAAGACAACCCGAATTCCAAAGACTGTAAAACGGTTTCTTTGTACCCTATGAAATTTAGTGACATATTCTTATTGCGGAAGCTAAACAAGGCATTGGAAATACTATACTTTGACTAGATTTACTTTTTTCCTCTCTAAAATGTCTGCGTATAGTACAATGTAGAGATTGTGAGTGCTAAGTTTTGTTTGTTTACGCGGAATTGAATTTTTGCTATTGCTTGGACCAGCTGTAGTATTCTGGCTTCTTGATGTTGAAAAGTCTTCTTAACGACTCTTTTTTTGGTGTCAATATGATTTTAATAAAATACCATCAAATATCTGTGGCATGCTTTACAAGTAAGGTCTAACAGTTTTGAAACTCTCAATCTATTTTAACAGTTGAATTCAAGAGTCCGAAACCATTTTGGAAAAAAGTAGTGCAGTTTTTCTGCGGCATGTCAGATGATATCGAAGAAGAAAAAAAGACTGCCCAAGAACAGACCGAACACCTCCGCGAAATCACATCTCTGCATCAAGATAAGAGAGCGAAGATGTTGCTTTATGGTAACCTTCTGATAATTCTCACAACTGCAGTTTTTCTCTACATATTCTTTTCAATACCTGATGGTGGGCCTACGGCGCCGACTATACCATACGGCAAGAACGCAAGTTTGACGTTGTAATCGCTAGAACCAAAATATGGTCATTTTTGTAAAAAAATCATTTAGTTTCAAGATTTGGTTGTACAAAGAACACGTTATTCACTCTCCATGATTTAATATAAGGTATCCTCGCTTTTTTGCTTTCCATGAGACTTTATTGATTATAAAATGTATTATTCATTGATCTTTGATGTATTTTTGAAGAAACTTTTAGTTGGGGGATTTTAATACGCTTCTGAGAATTTTCAAATGATAGTTTTTAAACTCATTTTTCGATGCATTCTACCATTTCATTGTAATTCGTCATCAACATACTATTTGAAAAGATACATCAGTTTGCGAAGTCTTTCGTTATAGTGTTCTTTCAAACTTATGCTACTTATTCCTGTTTGACAGTATACTTCAATTCAAAGTTGAGTATCTTTTCGAAACACCTATAGCTTGCCAGATGAAGGGTGCTCATTGAGGGAGACCAAATACACGGTGATTTCTGAGCAAGGTAGAGGTAATTTGTAGCTGAACGTCTTCTGACAAATTGAGGGAAATTCTGTCACCCAAACAATCCAACGATTTCCTTAAATCCCGACGAAGCAGCCACTTTCCAGAAAAAAATTATGCTATTGCCATTTGTCCCATGTATGTCAGGCCATTTTGGAGAGCTAAATTATTCTTCTTTGTCATAGTAAATTTTTACGACCTTGAGTTATGAAAATTTTACGATTGGTTGGTATTGTGAATGATGCTCTTGCTGTTACTATATTATTCCGGCAAAACAGCTAATATTTGCGTATGTATTGTGATTTTGCAAGGCATTTCCGTAGCAGCCTTAGAAAAACCTAAATTGAGGTCCGGAGAAACATTATCAATTTCGCGTGTAGATTCACATTTGTATAGTATTGTATTAAGAGTCCTAAGTTTCGAAGGGTGAGGTGCTGTGGCAGGAAAAACCTTTTGTACCAGTGAAGAAAGAAATCTTTTTTGGAAAAATTACTCGTGCCTCTCTTGATTCCAGCATCCCTTACTCCTGCTGTTCATGTGCTGCAAGCGATCTTGTTTTGATAACTATAAATAGTTTTCGTGTTTATTGTTTTTTATTAAGTAGTCTTCAGTAAATATATTGCACGTAGAGGTGGTTTTTAACAATTTCCAAGGTAAGAGCTCTCTTTTCGTTTAGCAAATTTGATTCTTTAGGGGAATGCTCCTAACTCCTGGTACATGATCACAGGACCAAGTCCCTTCTCCCTTTCGATCCAAGCAACTACAACCCTAACAGAAGATTCACAGAATCCGGCGGACAGCCTATCCTGCGGTTCTTCCTTCTCACACAAACTACAGCCCTCCCTGACCTTTTTATAGCTGCTTTCGTACCTGAAATATTCGAGTGATCTTAACGTACCTGAAGTACTAAGTTGCAAAGTTGGACACGCTGAAGAACATCTAATTTACCATTCAAAACAGAAAAATTAATGGCTAATTCACTTTGACGGGTCATGTTGAAAGTTAAACCTACTACGCTTGCCAAAAGTACTTAAAATACTCTTCATATCCATGTTGAAGGGAAATTAGCTTGGGACAAGCCTTTGTTTATGTAAATAAGGGAGATTTTTTAAAACATTAGAAAGTTACTGGGGCTGGAGGAGCAATTGCCCTCTAGTAAGTATGTTAAAAAGGCTCTGACACCGTAACGCCCTGAAAACTAGTTGATTTACCTTCTTTTCCCCTAAACCAATGTTGGAAAGTCATCTTAGTTTCAAAAATGAAGTTCGAATGGTGCATTTCTACGGGGGATAATCCAGCATTGTTTGACAGGGGAGAGAAGAAACAGCTTATGCGGAGGACAAAAATGTTGTTGGTGTCCCAAGACGTTTGGCAGGCATTTTGGGCATTCAAAAATGTCATCAATACCTCTGTACAGGTGTTAGGAAATGCTAGTCTTAAAGAAATAATACAAGACCATAACTAAAATTAATGGATAAAATCAAAGACTACATTCTTATAATAAAAAATAATACGAAAACAACAACCCCAAGTTAATGAGAAACTCATTATATACTTCTTCACAGTCACTAGTCATACAAAACGCGACACGCCCCTCATTTTACAAAAACCTTTATGCAATGCATTGCAGAAATTTCTGGTTCATGTCATTCTGGTCTTTCCAAATTGTCACTGAAAAATCGAAACAGTCTGTAAGAATTTGAAGAAAAATAATTCTTAGTATGCTGTAAAATTGTTCACTTTTTCATGCAATTTCAAATTTTAGATGCAACATTCTCAAACCCCATCTTGGAAGAATATGTGCAACTCATTCTCTTAATTGTCCAGCGTTGCAAGTATAAAAGCCACTCGATCACATGGCAAAATTACCACAAAGATCTTGCTGACAAGGAGTCAAAAAGAGGCTTAAAAAATATGGCACAAAATATTTAAGCCGATAAGATCATGCATAAAATAGCAAGAAAGAAAATATAAACTCAATATGTAATGATGTCTGTGGGTAACTTTGATTTAATTAGAATCTAACAAAGATTTGACTGAAACATGGAGCTCTCTTTCTATTTCGATAAAATTTCGATAGAAACAGCAAAAAGCTTAAGTATAATGAAAGAGAGTTTTAATTACCTCGACGCGAGGGTGTGGGTCGTGGGGACTTTGGGCTTTGCAGGCGTGGCTCGTCTAGTGGCGGCTGCCTGCCTTTGTCGTGCTAGAAATGAAAGACCTGCGCTGCCGACTAGCCTTTCTTCTGCTGCTTTGCGATGTAGCCTCATGCACTGAAAATGCATAAAGTCAAAATGATTGCAACAAGTATCGAAAAATATGAAAAATGAAGCATAAAAACACGTCTCCTTCTGGGAACAACAATAAAGTGCAGTTGACATAAACTATTTCTTACTTTCCCTTTACTACATGAAGACACAGGAAATGCCAATGCTCTTAGTACAGATTATTGACAAAAAAACAGAAAAACTTGTTTAGACATTTTAAAGACGGTGAATTTTCTTCGTGTTTCCCAAGGAAAAATGTATCTTACTCAGCAAAATAAATGGCTACAATTAACTGGCAATAGTTGAAAAGTGCAAAAGCTTCATACAAGATCTCATGAGAAAAAAGCTTATCACATTTACACCAACTTTAGTAAATTACATGCTGAACAATGATAATATCTTGAAACGATAAATCCCAAATAAAAATAGTGCCATTGCTTGAGATACAATTAAACATCCGTTAAATAGGATACCACGGCAATAGTAGAAGTGACTCAGATGACCTAAATTGGTAAGGTTCATTTGGCAGATTCTTATAAATATTATTACGGAAAATGAGATCCCATCGTTGCCTTAGAATTTGAACTCAGACCAGCAATTAACATTTAATCGTTTACATACCATATCATACCAAGCACTGATTATTAGTTTCTCTTCCCTTTCCCTTGTTACTTTCATCCTTTCATGATCTCGCTATAATTTGAAGATATAGCAAATCTGATTAATGAAGAATAGTTTGAAAAAGAAAAAAATAAAACCTGCTATTCAAAAAGAAGACTCGATGCTTCAAAGTTTGTGCCAGTGCTATTACGCAACACTTAGCTTTTCAGCAAAGTATTGAAAATCAATCTCAGAAAGGCTGAAGCGCAAAACACGCCTCTAACTATAGAATGAGACTAATTGAAAAAACTAAGGCAGAAAACCTGGTTTGAAACCATACTTTTGTAACGGTTTGGATTTTATATTTATTCAATTTAGTAATGTTCCCGTTGCGTGTTAAAGTTACATGTTCTGTTAAGTCCTGCTGTGTTAGTGAACGCCCTTTTATGGCAGTGTGTTTGTCTTTCAACATGTAGTGTGACGCTGGTATTGTCCTGTTAATTAGCTCCGTTTATGTTATAAGTATGTGTTAATCACGATATAAGTTAGTCTTTCTGTTGAATCATTAGAGTTAAGATCAAGGAATGAGTATCTTTTGCGCGTTACTTGTTCGGGGCTTAGGCCCTTTTGCCTAGCCCATCGCTCCACCAACGGGCTAGTTATACACCCGTTATTCACCGTCATAAGAAGAACCCTAACCGTTTCATTTTTTAATAAATGTCCACTTTCTTTTAAACAGCCATCTCCAAGCGCCCCTCTGTATATAAATAACTTTATAAACGCCCCTCTCATTTAAGAGCCCGTTTTCTTCTTTCATTAGAATTACGAAATGAGAGAAAAATGAAACGTTATTCGAATGCTTCATAATCTTGTTCCAGTTTACAAAGTCATAGCCAATCTTGTTTCTGTTATTGTAACTTCTGTTGTAATAATGTTTTTAATCAAATCTTTTATAAACGGCCAACGCAAGCCCATACTTTTCTGGGTATTTCATACTAAAGTATTATTGAAGCATTCTTTCTCTGAGTATACGAATAAAATTTAATTGAATTGAAATTGAAATCTAATAAACTCCTCTTTGTTTTATAGGCTTTTATTGGAAAAGAACTTTTACCAGTCTACTGGGTAGGGAATGAAAGAGTGAATAAGTGTTTATAACACAACTACAAATGGTACCTCTAAATGCTCTATCATCTTCTCCTTATCTTGAAGTTGATTCCGTAGCTGCTGAATCTAAATTATATAAAAACACACACTTTAAAATATCATAAAAATATGCAGAAGTAGTAGTTATCACACAGAACATGAAAATTATCTTTTTGGAGCATTTCATCATATCCGTATTATGCAAGATGGATGTGATGTTCTCTTACAAACTTGTAAATAACACGTTGAATGCCAAAATGATGAAATAAACCAACCTCACTGTGCGAATTTTGCTTCGGATCTAGAGTTCGTATAACCTAAAAGAGACAAAATTAAAAAGATGTCTGTCGATTATTTATAATAATATCCTCATGACTAACCGTGATATAGTTATTCTCAAGAACAGATGAATATCGACATTTTTTTGAAATGCTTCTTCTTTCATGCGTAGCAAAGTAATATTTTTTTTTAAAACATTTTTTGGTGGATGCTTTAATCTTCGATGTGTCGAAGTTTTATAAATATGCCATTATCATTTACTTTTAATTGTCCAGCTGCATCTAAATTCTAGCATTTTGCATTTTCTTTCCAAATCTAATCTCCCACCCGCCCGCTTGGTGGCAGAATGTTTCTACAACACTACCAGCACACCTAAAAATGTCCATGTTGCGACAATTCCACAGTCAATTCAACAATCGGCTCTGTGATCTCTTACCTGCTTGGCTTTTTCGAGGTATTTCTTATACCGTTCTTCCATTTGCCTCATGTCTGCATCTTTCTTGACTAGTTGTTCTTTAAGGTTTACTATCTCATCAGCTAAAAATGAAAGGGTGCCATGTTCAGCAGTTTCCTTATCTGAGATCGGGAATTAATAAAAGGGGAGGGTTGGTGTCTTGAAATAAACGGTTAATAACGGAAAAACTCCAAAATCTAATAAACAAGGGGGTTTCAACACACGGGTTGGGCCGAATTTTTCTGGAGCAAAAGTATGGTTGGAAGTGATTGGTAAGGACATTCTGAACTTCAAAATTCAAGCCGCACTCTTTCGTAGATTGAGCGCCTTTAAAGGTAGAGCACCGTATTAAAATTTGACAAGTGGCTTCGAGAGGGAGAAGCTAGGAGTAAAACACAGGACCGGTTCAGTCTAAGTCAGATAAAGTAGTAGAAATACAGTGTCTTGTCTAATATAGTGAGGTTGCTTACAATTATTACTTGACCTTGATTCCAAGTCATCGATGTAAGATTTCTTTCTTTGAAGCTCGTCACTGGCTTCTCTTAGCTGCTCTCTAAAAAATGGGAAACAGACAATTATTCGAAAATCTTTATTCGTACAATTACAGAAATTTAAGTGAGCAAGCAAGGAAGCAAACGAGAAAACAAAAACAAAACAAGCCAGCAATCACACACAGTCACACAAACACATAAACATACCTGTTTATTAATGCATTGTTTTGGATGGTATTTTTGCATTGTTATTTTTGCATGTGGTCAACAAATGCTTATCCAGAACGTTTTGCAAATTGGTAGGGGATATCGAACATTTGAATTGAATAGGGTCAGATAACTCACAAAATCCAATCTGCACTTTATTGAATAACACTAGATAGAGGCTGGGAAGATCCTTAATTTGTTCAAAAAAGCTTACACAAAACAATAGGCTTTTACAACATCTTGTCAACTTCACAATCATAATCATAAAACTGAGACCGAATCTACCAGGCTTTGCGTTACGTTCCTGGAAACCTTTCCTTTTGCTCACAGTTAATTGTTCAAGTATTAAAAAAACGTAAATAGACGATTGATTCCCCTAGAGTAGGGTTTGGTGCGTCGAAAAGAAACTTACAAATGCACATGTAGTTTCTTCTTTAGATCTTGTTCTTCCTGACATGTTTTTTGTGCCTCGTTTTGCTGGATTTTAAGAGCATCTTCTAGCTCCCCTTCCAGTTCCATTAGCTTCTGATTCTGCTGCCTGCAAATACGATGGAAAGAAAATAAGTTTGCTTTACAGTGTTGCAACCGAAATAACAAGCACCGTTAACGATATTGTCTGAAAGGTTCTTCAGCATTAGAAATTTGCAATGAAAGGGATGATGGACTTCCTTGAATGAACAATCGAGAGTGTGAACGGTAAAGTCTAAAACAGTCTTCTACCAGAAACAAGCTTCGAGGGGAAGTGGACGTTACAGAGAAACCTCCCAATCACGAACATCCCATTCAACGGTACCTCTATTTGACTGGCACCTTCATTTAACAGGGATCTCTGTTTAACTGGCACCTCCCGATTGAAGATACCTAACGGACACCAACCAATAACAGACGCCTTCCATTTATTCCATCCAAAATTATTTTCCTGTGGTCATTAGCAAAAAACAAATAGCCTCCTCAAGAGAAACATCCCTACATGGAACTTATTTTCTTCCAAGAGTCCGTCATGCGGAGGCTTAAATTTTTTGATAGTAAGGACACTGGTTGGATAAGATACCTCGGGAATGTCAGATCTCTATGGAAAAGACACAGCCTTCTGGAAGTTCAAGAATGGAACAGGTGTTGTGAAAGCAACGAATAGGCGAGACATACAGTTAAATTGACATCCTCAAAAAGCTTGTGTGGTTCCACATGTCCATAGATAATATCCGTGCGATCAATAAGAAACATCATCATTAAGAATTGCCTCTCAATACCATAAGATTTCTACTGAATTACAAATAAAGGACACAGCAAAAATAACGATTAAAAAACTGGCCTATTCTCGGTTTCCAATACATTTTTCTGTTCTTTGATATCGTCTAGCATGCTTTGCAATACTTGGATTTTCTCGTTTTCATTTCCATCTATTTGCAACTTCAACATCTTGTTTTCGTGCTTCATTCTGATAAATTTACTCCTACGATGAAAAAAAATATATATCTAAAATGCAATTTTGATAACTAATACAAAACCAATTAAAAACAAACAAAGAGGATATATAATGTGATTTTACGCCGCGAATTTTGGATGAAAACCAAGGGAGAAGCCTGTCATATTTCAAAGGTCTTAAAAGGAATACGGAGTCTTCACCTCAGACACGCCTTCAAGGTTTTTCAAAGTTAGATATTAAAAAAGTTGCCTGATGTTCGCAATAACCGTGAAACGTGGAATGGCAACTTAGAACTGTCCGGTTCTATACACAATAGCGTGCAAAGTTAGATATTAAAACAGCTGACCGCACCTGATATCTGGATCTTCAAGCTGCAGGAAATCCTCCGATACCGAATTGGACGGACTGTTACTGTCATCAAAACCGGGTAATAGATCTAGACCGGGGCAATAGACATAAATCATTGATCGAAAGGAAAAGCATGCAAATGCGAATCGTGATTGGATGATTACGTTTCACCAAGGTATTCATAAACAAGTATAAAATGCGAAAGAGGGTTACTCTGATGACTAGTTTAAAATGAACGTATGAAGGAAAGATTTCTTTCTTCATGAGTGCAGGATTAAAGACTGCATGAAATCTGAACACGTACGGACAATTGTCCCTAAATCTGAATGCATGTGAGCAAAACCTAACGCAAAATATATACATCAAAATCTACACATCAATTTTATGCAGCAGCAATCATTCAATGATACTTTAAAATTTGCGACAGCTTGATAGTCGGATTCAATTCCTAAGCAATAAGGTAACTTCCGAATATCATGAAGATTTAAACATGGCAAAAATCAAAAATGATATTTGTAAAAGAAAATGCTTTTAAACAGGCTAAAGCTTTTAGTCAGAAATTGTTAATGCAGAGATATTGCGTTGTACTTGGGAAGATTAAATCTCATTGCAAATCGGATGGAATTGTGACTCACTGGTCTGATTTGTGCTATTGAGTGTCAATTCTTCATTGGTCTCTTTGAGAGCATTTCTCTCCTGCTTTAACCTCTACATTGACAAAAAACAAAACATATTTAAATTTTTTAAATGCTGTCAACAACTGACTGACTAATGCTGTTAAGATACAAATATGTTGTTGGCGATCGTTCTGGTAAAAAGAATGGAAAAAGGACAGTTTTCAAGAAAAAACCTATTTGTCTAACAAGCAAATATATTTTGATTGCATAACTATTTTTTTTAGTCAATGTTACCAAGGTTTTTGAACTTTTTTTCCAAAAGCATTTCCCAGAGAAGTCATCAAAGAGCTATTTCAAGCATTGGTGGTTTCTAAAAACTTAATTAACTTACAACAAAGGAATCATAGAATGAATTAAGATAAATGTTTGTGGAAAGAAGATTAAGTCGTCGAAAAACTGACTGAAAATTTAAGCAAGAACCTCATTTTCAGCTTCCAGCATCTGTTGCTTTTCTTTCGCTCTCTTCGATTCAAATTCTGCTTTATCGTACTTTTTCTCTAAGTCGAGGTTTTTAGAGTGTAATTCGTATATCTGAATGGAAAAAGCAACAATTGCAAAATCACCAATGAAAATGTGGTACATCATTTGTGAAATGGCTGCAAAAAACTGCAGTGAAACGTAAGTGCGACATGTTGAATAAAATAGCCGTAGTACTAAAGTGAAAAGTTCTTTCAGAAAATTCTTCTAATTCATGATACATAATTCCCCACACCCTCACTGCAAGATAAATAAGCCATTTAAGCCTGTCTGCACCCAAATTATTTACTTTTCTACACTACACACACGCGAATCGCAATGATAGTGCCTTGTGCGTTCCCTGTCGCTTGGTGGCAGGCTGTTCGAGCTCACCCGCATCACAAATTTAATTTATGAATTCACTTTTCATCGATCAACGTTTACGTAGAGCAAATCTACTGAAGACTGAGCAAAAAACTACCCTATTGGATCAAGTAACTTTTTGCGAAGTGAGCTGCTTACAGCGCAAAATATCAAAAACTTAAAGCTAGATATCAAGCTAGAAAGCTTGACGCTGGCTTGAACTATTAACGGGAATAGAAAGAAAACCCAATTGTATCTTCTAGTTTTCGCTATTCGACTAACAGAAGGCAAGGTGCATGTTGTCACAAATAAGTGTTTCAAGCAATGAAAAGTTGATAGATCCATATACCAAAAGATGATACACCCAAATCAAGTGGCTACATATTGCATAAAGCGCAAAACAACAATGCAGAGAAATATTAAAGATTTTCAAGCTGAGCAAAGAAGAGGACGCTGAAGCCATCTTACTTGTTTCTTGAAGGTTTCTATCTGCACTTTCAAACCCTGTGCCTTTTTCAGTTCCTAGAGATGAGACAAAAGACATACAATTACAAAAATTTAATTTCATTTCCTAGAATTAAGAGAAAAGCACAGAGAAAAGCTTTTAAACAACTAGCTACAAAAACGAGAATTCCTTGCTCCCTTAGTTCTTATTCAAAACGCAACTGCCATTTTTCAAACTTAGTTGTATCTTTCCCTACACCTAGTGACCACGTGAAACGTCTGGGGCAGAGGTACCATGAGTAAAGCTTGTTATACCAGCTTCATCACAGAGCTACTTTTACGGACTTAAAATAGTTCATTAAATGAAAGTGATATTAAAAACATATGCTGTTATGATATAATAAACCTTTCTTGAAAGCTGACAATTCTACAGGTCTCCGGAAAGCTTTAAAACAGAATAGCATGTTTTCTATAATCGATATGACATTGAATAACAATATCCGAAGACAATATACAAGTTGAAAACAGAAAGACAACTGCATAGTACAAAACCCTATTATAAAACGTATTCTTACTTCTTCCATCGAAATGGTTTGTTGCATATAGCTATTATTCTTCTCTTGGAGAGATTTCATCTGTTTCCTCATATCTTGAAGCTCCTCTACACGTTGTGACAAAAACGAATTATAACTAATGATTATCAATTTTGTCTGTTTGATGGTTGGTATTACAGCCTAGCACCCCTATCCTAAATAAATATTGGTGCCCCCACCCTCGGCACCATGAAATTCAAGAAAAACAAATTAAAAAAAACATCTTTACACTTTTTTTGATTAAAATATCATATCTAAAATAGAGAACAACCTCACGAACATTGGTAGATTTGTTAACACTCCTATTGCAAAAAGACTTGGACATATTAATTACGTTTAATACAGATTGGCTATGTGCGTTTAATAAAACCATATAACTGTTAAGGCGAAATTCACATTTGTTGATGCTATTGTTTAGATGAACTAACTGTATTGCTAGAAGATCAGAACGTGTTAAACACTGGTCCATTGCGTTGCCCAATTACCAGTGACCGTTTCAATAAGTTGTAAATCCATGTAAAGCTTTATCTACAACAGGTCTACGTAAAAACGAAGCTAAGTTTTCAAAAGTTAGCCTTTTTGGGTCTTAATTCTGAAAGTGCATTAAAGAGTGACACGTTTAGCTGTTCTTAGACCAAGTTCGTAAGTAAAAGATATGTTTCAGTGATGAATTTAGTTGGCGATGCCTGGCAAAAGTACCGTCTCGTTACAACAGATAGTTAAAGTAAAATGCCCTTAAACAGCCTTATTTGTAGTGTTATGTTAAGAGGTACTGCGATGGAGAAAACCAAACGAGACAGAGGCAAAGAACGTTAGAAGGATTTTGGACTTTATTCACAAATGGGTAGCTGGGTTGATTTTGCTGTGCATTGTTGTGTAAAAAAAATGTATATCTTATCTTGACCTCAAAATACATGTCTGACAAAAATTTGCTTTTAAACACAAAGTGATTAATCTAAAAAACTTATATATAAAGCCTTCTATGAGGGGATTCACTGCTGTCAGGCAACTGATTGATACATTACAGAGTTATCACGATAATAGGTTTCGCGCGATAATAGGTTCCAATTGATCTGGTGCCCAGTGAATAAGAGATGACGTAATAAAGAATATCTAGAACTAGTGAATTAAGATATACAACCAAAAGCAAGCACTACAATAGAAAACTCACCTAACTTCTTTTTGTAGGTTTCAATTGTTGCTTCATACTTTGCCTGTAACAAACAAACTTTCATACTAAGTACTGTTACAAAATAAACTACTCTGAATTAAGACTGAAGAGTTTATTTAAGAGTCTGCATCACGTTCATCAATACAAATAAAAAGATTGGAAATCACATTTTTTCCAGGAAAGACAATTCAAGCTCAACTTTATATCAGGTAAAAACTTAGACTCTAGCACTACCGTTTGGAATTTCGATGTATTTTCCTTTAAGTATAAGAACCTTTCTTTCATTTGTTACAAAAAGAATTGTGACAAAAGCTAACACCCCTAGATTTAGCCAACTTACCACTTTATCTTGAGTATGCCTTAAAACGTCCATCTCATCCTTCAAAGATCGTGCTTCTTCAGCCAATTCTGATAACTGTTCAATCTACAAATCGACAAGAGATCAAACTCAAAGCCTATAATGATAAAATTTGGAAAATTATAGAAACCAGGTCATCCAAACTGGGCCTAGACACGGACTGGGCCTGCATACGGACCGGGCCTACATACGGACTTGGCCTAGATTTAGACTGGGCATACATACGGACTGAGCCTACATACGGACATGGCCTACAGACGGTATTCTAATATTTCACATTGTTTTCTATAGTAGGTCCCTTGAGAAACAATGCTACTGAGGGTCACTCTTCTCAAATATGTGAAATATAAAAGCCTAAATTATGCATGCTAATGATTATATTTAAATGGACTTCACGTACTCTATCATTGAGGGATTTTTTGTCTTTCTCTACTTGCTCCAAACGAATTCTGTAGTCTTCTTTGGCTAAAATCAAACATCGTATATCAATAATACAATTTTGTTAGGAACAATTTTCATTACATTCAAGGTTTGATATTGTAAAACAGAACCCAAACGGGAAGCGTACAGTGTCAAAAATTTTGAGCATCGTTTATCATATCCTTACAAAAAAGATGTTCGATACAACTTAATGGATAATTGCTTCAAACACAGAAAAATTTAATATTTCCGTTATTAAGCACATCTTTGCATTACTTCCATTCTAAGCATCTTGCAAAAAGATCTTATAAGTAGCTTGTTACTTTCCATTCTACACTTAAATGCAAGCAACAACAAAATAACTTACCACTAGATTAATCAAAGTTATTCCGATTTTAATTTAAAAAAACGCAGACAGTTAAACAAATTCTGCTTAACCAAAGGTAATTAGAGCACAGTTAAAGTAATAGAATAATAAGTATATATATATATAGATTCAAAAAATTAAATTCTTTCTTTCCCTGAGATCGAGGTCCAGTGTTTAAAAACTTCGGAATTACATTGGAATTTAAAAACTTCAAATTGCTTTCCACAACTTTATTTCATCCATAGATGTTTTACATGTTTACCTCTCTATTTCCCTATGGTTTAATCCTTATTTTACATGGATCAATCTCAGTAAGCAAATGTGACGTCAATAACCAGTTTGGTATAAATTATTGACTACGATTTTTAAACGGCTGATAACATAGTTGCATGAACTCTCTAAAGCAAACCCACCGCTTTCCATGCTGAAATTCTCCTCTTTCAGTCTGTCAATTTGCGTGTTTAACCTTCCTATCGCGTCTTTTGATCTGCATAGGTAATGATGCGTTTGTTATACAAATTGAATTTTAATTAGATCAGCAAAAGACATAGCTCAAAATACATACTTTTGAGAGCAGAATCAGCAGATAACTACAGTGACAATTTTACAAAACCAAAAATTTCTGGGAATAGCGGCACTAAGGAAGGCGTCAGTGATTTGGGCGTTGCTTTCTTCAGGGCTTGGCCGCAGACAAAAAATATAGGGAAAACCTTTTTTAAATTATTTGGAGGTGCCTGATATTTGGGTATTATTTTAGCGGAGATTTCCCTTGAGCTGAAAAATGTGCAAAAAAACGTGGAGCAGGATTGATGAGTTATTTGTGCAGTTTGTGCACATGTTCAGCGAAAGATATTTGAATAAGCAAAGCGTCTTGGGTTCCAACAATATGTTCTCTAGCCAATACTCACCCATCTTCCTGATCTTGCATGCTGCCACCGCCTTTTATGGAGCGTAGCTGTTCATTTTCAAGTACTAGTGTTGATCTCTCCTCTTTCGCGAGTTGCACCTGTTTTTAGAGCAGAGTACATTTATCTTCATAGAGCAAAAAAACAAATTGAAGTAGGCCATTCGGAACTAAGAAACCTCACTATAACGTCCTCAATAGCAAGCACACGGAGCCTTGATGTTAAATCAAAGACAGTTTACAATGGAGTGCAGTTAACAAGAAAAGCGATTATATGCCATTTGCAAACTCAAATGCTTTTCACCTTCAGGCTGTGTCATGCTACACTCCAAATATCATGCCTTATTGCCAAATGTTGCTAATTTTCCAAGTTTCAAAATTCTTCATAAGATTCCCAATCCCATGCGATCCAGCAATTTCAATAAGAACTTGATAAGAGACAGCAAAGTGATATTTCAAAACAAAATCCTTGCCTCATAGGCCACAATTGCTTTGAAACCATTTTACCAAAGGACCGGGAACAAGCATCTTTTTCATTGGTTCTATTTCAAAGAGGAAAATTATTACGCAAATATCATTATTACCTGGTCTTCCAAATCGTGGATCTTCTGAAGCAGTTCTTCCTTTTCGTTGATGAGTGATGTAACCTGGTTGAGTGTCTCCTTGTGCTAAAAGAGTATATCGACATTTTTAATAAGAGCAAATCAATTATTAGTACAAGTAACTAATTTCCAGACAAAAACTTGGGCTAAAGATGTAGTAAGAAGGGTCATGCCAAAAATCAGCACTACTGTGTACCATTCTTTGCTATGGATGGAAAAGAAACTTTCAGATGACATGTACATAGCTTTCAGAAGATCATTTCCCCATTTGTCAAAACACAAAATGCATCCGTACAGCTAAACGAATAGTAAATAGCTAAGTTGTTCTTAAGTAGAACTTAACAAAAAGCAGGGACGGAATTGCTAGCAGGAGGGGGGAGTGTTAGATAATGATTGGGTTTTGTGCCATACTCTTCAGGTGAGTGATAGGAACTGATGGGAACGCCCATTTTAAAATTCAGTTTTAACTTCAAGATAAAGATGATAAGAAAATAAAAAACGAACTATTCTGCACCATTCTGTTCCTATGCTTTTTACCGAATCGAAGCAAAATTTACCAGAGAACATCAAAAATTGGGGGTGGGGGGCGTCGCACCCCCCGGTAAATCTGTCCCTGACGAAAAGCTAGATGTATTTCGATTCGAACGATACAAATCTTACCCTTTGGTCATATTCTGTTCCAAATTCAGGCTCCGATATCCTTGAGGTATCCTTGGCTGCTAAGAGCTGCAAAGAATTTTGAGAACATCCAATGAGTTACAGGTAAACCTCAGTGAATATATTGTATTAATTCGTATTGTTCATTTATTCCCCTTATTGCTATTGTGTAGAAAGAAGGAGTTCGTTTGCTCTCTTGGACTCAAGCGGTGATTTTTCTATAGGCACACAGTACTGATTGGACATATTGGTCATGTGCTTGCATTTTCTGATTGAGTTATAGGCGTATTTTGCATTGGCATTCGTTACAGTTGGTATGAAGTTTCAAAAATAGATAATGAATTTTTTTATTGAGATAAAAGGTAATGTTTAATGAAAAAAATTACTCAAAACATCCAGCCATCGACGTAGTACTTTTAATCTACTTTCGTCCCCTTCCACCAAGAACAATGTTGATAGTTGAGGCAAATATCATACAAGTCACACGAAAAAAACATACTTCCTAATCCTAAACTCCTATATCGTTATATAAAAAACCGGCATTTTTTAAAGCGGGTAAAGGGATGGCTGAATTTGAATTTGAGTCAGGGTTTCAAGACTTTTGGCAGGGATTGTAGTTTCAACGAATTTTTCAGCTTATTCGAAATTCAGCAAGAAGATAAACTTTACAATACGGTTACAAAAATCTACTATATTGCGATCTATGTTAAAAAAGAAAAGATTAGTTGAAATAATCACCTCCTGAATGGCATTCATGACATCATGCTGAACTTCCTCTTCAAGACCCATAATCACTTGAATGTATTCTATGTACAAAAAAGACATTCAGTGAAAACTAATTATTTTCCAACAAATAAAACGTTTTTCTTTACAGAAAACATTGTGACTAATTTTTGTCTCAAATATTGCTCTGAAATCTGAAATTCCATTTTTGTTTCAGTTTATCCTCATCAATATCATTGGAAATGTTTGGACAATATAATTATATATGTTCTGATCAGATATAACTGAATCAAATTCTCTAGTCAAATGCATCAAAACTATTTACTTACAATAACACTTAAAAAAACAATATTTTTGCTTGAAACCTTTTTCGCCATTGAGTGCAATATTACAAAAAAATTTTAATGGCAGATAGCAAGCTTTGAGGGATTTCAAAGGGGGAAAATATATAGGTTATTGCATATTTCATTGAGTTTCGTAAAAAATCCTAGTTTTATTAAAAAGCAAAATTACTATAAATATTTCCTCAAAAAGTCTTCCTCCTACTCATATAAACTTGAGAAATAGTCAATTGATAATCTTAAATTGATCATTTCTGTATATATTAAGCGAACATTAGAAACTTACGCTCTTTTTCCTCGCAGTTGACAGCACATCCCAAAATTAACTGAATCATTCTGGAAAGCTCATCTTCATTATTATTCTCAGCTGTAAAAAGTAATTTATAGCTCTATTATTACAAATTTGATAGCTAAATAATGTATGTAAAATTAGTATACTTACATACTCACAATGTAGACCTTACATACTTATGACCCTTTTTGTAAAAGGTTCATAAGTGAAATGAAAAAAATGTCAAGAAACTCTATGACAACAAAAACATGATATTCCTCACCTATTTCACAAACATCAGGGAGATTGAATCCACTAAGATCTTGATTCAAAACCTAAAAATATAAACATATGAGACTACAATAAAATACAAAGTAGAACCTTTGTAAAAGTTCCATAGAGGGTTGGAATGATCTCAAACTTTAGTAATGCAAGAAAAAGAACATAATTTCCCTTGGTTGTGCAACTGTATGAATTTACATCAACTTGGAAACTTTATTCAAACCACAAATGTTGGTCAATGGTTTTCAAGGAGTTAATTGGTTTGATGTATTGGGATTGGAAAAGGAAATTGATTACCAGGGAACCCATTAGCAAATTAATTTGCAGTTGGTATTTGCAATTTACAGACCCTGGGCAGTTGAATTATTGTTCACTCTTATTCACCCCCAACAGCTAGAGGCTCAAATCAGACCAGAAGAATGAATAAAAACATCTTCCTTTGCTTTGGGTATTTAGAGGAGAATGAAACCTGCATATATGAACCGAGAGGCACTTCTCTGAGTGTAATGAAAGATATCATTCTAAGATGAACACACATTTATAATATAAACTTTTATTTTAAATGGCAAAAGATATATAAGAATCTTGAAGAAAAGCTTACCTCTGAAAAGTAATCCAGCATTCCTTTTAAAACTTTTTTCAAATTGCTTATCTGCAAATGATAGAAAGATACAATAAGAAGTGATTCTAAGAAAATAATTAGATTTCAGGGGATCAATTCAAAACTATTAAAAAAATAAATGCAGCAATGAGGGTAGTATAGAGGGTATCAAGGATTCATGAAAAACAGGTAATTTTACCGATAAAATAAATTCTTAATATGATACCACCAGAGTAAGAGTAAGAGTCAGTCAGAGACTACCACAGATTTCACTGTGAGAACTAGCAACTGAAAAACAAGAAGCTAGCAAAAGGCAATTGTATATTAGATCATTCTTCATGTGAACTTGCCTTGCATTTCTACATGAGATCAAAAAAACTAAATCAATATTTTGATTTGATACATCATATCGCAGGGCTTTCACGTTCAGAAATCAACGCGAGCGGCCAAAAACTCGTGTGATAAGAGTGGGACACGCGAAACAGTTATGTTTGTGTTTCCCTCACAAGTTATCGTGAAGGGTGCTGTGCGACACAAAGAGGTTTTAGTGACTTTAGAAACGTGACGAAGTTTCAATTCTAATCAGCAAAGTTAAAGGAAAAAACAGACAAAATATGCTTTAGTAAATAAAAACAAAAAGAAGGCCCTGTTTGACCAACAAATTGCAAAGGGGCAATTAATAATGTGTAAGTCCATTGGAAGTCAGGCCCTCTTCCTATTACTCGGCTTTCATAGGAACAAACCGTTTTTGATTTTTGTTTCATATTGCAGGACTATTTTCAATTCAGAAACTTACCTTTAGACGATAATTTCCACTGATGTCTCTCTTTAACTTTGACATCCAATCAGGGTCAAACCACTCTGGAGCTCTATGTAAAATAAGATGCGTATAAAAAACTTTGAATGGATGTTTCAATGGTGACAATCAAGCAAGGGACAAAATCCCTATGAAATCAACATACTATTGCCCTAAGTAACTATGAAATAAATGCCATGTGACTCACATTTGAGTAAGTGCTTCTGCCATTGCAACACCATCTGTTAGATCTCTGACTGAATAATGTGGTGCCTCTATGCCAGGGAAGGTTCCCAGCTACAAACAAGAGAAAAAATTAATCAAAAGTTATAATACAAGGATTCAAATGACATGAATGATCATAATTACTACAGCTTGCCCAGACTAAAAACATGCATTATTCTGACAGTGCAGATCTGCAAGCAACAGCACAGTCTCAGCATGGACCTGTGAGTGAAGGTATTTTTGCTGCGAGCAAAGACTGATATATATTTGAAAGATTGGTTTATATATGACATCAGTGGGAACGCATAGTGGTCAAACAACAGATATCAGCAGTAACAGTTTCGCATTTCTAGTACTGCCTGTATCCAATGAGTTACCAAAGATAAAATCAATGAGACGGATTTACTTTGCCAGGACCCTGCCAGGAGTCCCTATGACCTTTATACTTATGAAATTCCCCTTTATCAGTAATAAGGATTTCTGCAAATTTAGATAAGCTGTACCTAAGAGTTTGACTGTGAAGGCTGCATAACAATGGAAAGAATTGAGCTTGTATGTTTCATTACAAATTTGCGTTAAATTAGGGCATGGCCTCCAGCAGGCTACACCCAAACTCTGTCAGACTAGTACCAATTTTTTTAGTGCTGGCCACCTCTGATGTACATGACATGACTGACATGCATACTCAGGTGTTGTGAAATACTGATTTTCATCTAAAACGTAGCTGTGACCCAGGTCTGCAGAGTATGGATGGCAGTTCTTAATAAGATCTTGTGTGTGTAAAGTTGTTTCAGTCGCATTTTCCATGTTTAAACTGCCTTTTACTAAATATTTTAAATATTGCTAATAGCAAATTTGGTTTGCAAATTTCAAATTTTGAGCTGCAGCAATACACTGACCTGGCAGTTTTATGGATGGCAGCAATACACAGCTTTTCAAAATCAACACCTTTAGGCTATTTTATTTTCATAATCCTTTTGGTGTTGCCAGATGTAGCAAAATGAAAGTTGTTGCGTTGGCTAGAAGCAGTTGTAGACGATAATAGAAGCCTATAGGAAAGGATAATTTGTCATGATAAAAAAAGCCTTTAAACTGCTATCTCTGACTCTCTTTTTGCAGATAAGGATCATTCCGTAGTAACATCAAGTAGAAATAATGCTTACCCATTTTATGAGATTTTCGCAAACACTTCCATTGTCATCAGTATCCATGTTTGATTTTGTAAATTCAGGTTTGACCTTAAATGTTTACTTTTTACGGTGCCGTTTTGAAATTCCCGAGATAACCCGGGATCCTGAACCACACTTGGTTTTCTCCTTTTTTGCAATTCAAAACGCTCCAAATCCACAGTGCGAATTTATATTTTCATGTATCATAACATTTGATGACGTTTTGTTCAGTTGTCGTTTTGCCTTCCAAGAACTTAGGCCATCACCACAACAAAGTTTCTATGACCATACATAAGCCAAGTTTGCATTCCTTTTCCAAATAGAATCATTTAATCATAAAAAGCAACTTTGGGCGCAACAATTCTCGTCCTGGATATATCCTTGAAAATAAATCAGGGCTTAGTGATTTAGATATTTACAGCACCCCAAGGGTCGTTGCCAGACTTCAATTCAGATGAGTTGTCTTCAGTGACTTGAAGTAAGGTGCACGAAATAAAAATGGTAACCCATACCTGCTCAAAGAGTGACGATAAATTTGAAACAAAAAGAATCAGTGGTATACCTGTCAGGTGACGTCACTACAGTTCTATTAAATTTGCTAGTCAGTTGCCATTTTAAATGCAGCTATAAATGCAATATTGTCACTATTGCAATATTGCGTTTCTAGGACAAACACCCCACAAACTTTGCAAGAACATTTTTTAGAAATATGGTACCTTAGGGATGGCCAGAAAGTGTATCTAAATTCGATTTTGACTCAAGGCATATCCAAGGCAATATTTTCAATATTTGTTTTATCAACATGCTTCATAGTTTCGTCGTTTTAATGTTGAGATGAAATAGGAAAGCTCTTGCACAGTTTAAGAATAACATTTTTGACGTAGCTAATGACATTTTGAATATTAAATAAGGGACCAAAACCTGATGGAGGGGTAGATAGAAGAAACATGATTTAATAAAAAAATTGACATTGTAGTATCAACTGGAAAACAATAAGCTAAAAATAAAAGATAAAGCAATTTTATACAGTTTTCAAATCTGATCATAAATTTCTCGGGAATAAGTTGCTTTAGCAAAAAGATTCTGGATTTGAAAAACTTTCAAACTGTGCTGGCTAAAGCGAGTTTTGATAGAATTTATAATGACGTTTAGATTCTCTCTTTCTTAGTAGGAATGGATTATCGATACAAGCAAACTTTGAAGCTTTCTTGATGATACTTTCGAAAACAAATCAGCCGATCGTTTCTCAAATTCTCAAAAAGTTTCTTCCCAGCAGTTTCTTTATCTTCAGCAGCCAATTTCTCTATTTTAAAGCGTTTAGGCCACAGAAAAAACGATACTCTGTCATTTGGTTTTTGCACCAAGTTATTCTATATCAGGTTTCTCCATCTATTTTCTAAGCCAAGCTCTTATTAATCGTTTCCTTGGACAATGACCAATTTCTTCGATCAAATTCCCATTTCCAATTTATTCTTTGTCTTCTATGATACAGAAAGGGAAAACTAAGGAAACATTTAAGGGAATATTAAGCACAGTTGCTTACAGAATGGTAGACTAAATTTCTTTCCAATTTGGACTTAAAAACTATTTTATGGAGGTTAGGCTCCAGTGAACGGTTATTTGAAGAATGAGCCCCAGCTTCCTACTTATTTTTCGTTGCTGTCATCTTACTTTAGCCTTCTGTAGGCATTCTAAAAATAGGTTAAATTCTGGCATAATATTCTTTTACATTTTTGAGAAATGTTGTCATGAATAAGGCACTACAGATATAATTCCGTACTCTCTTTGATAATCACATAATTCCGATGCTAAAGGCACTTCAATAAAAGGGAACTTTGGCACCCTTGCCCCTTTTATCAAAGAAGAGTGTCCCCCCGCGCCCCCATCTTCAATGTTCCTGGCACAATTTATATCCAGGTAGGCCGCTATTTTCTAAGTAACTTGGTAACTTGCAAGGATCGATACAAATAATGTTTATGCAAGAAATAAAATTCTTTTGAGAAAATTTTCACAAGAAAAAATGCAAAATAAGCATCTCGGCATTACAAAAGATTGGAAGCACAAAAAGTGAGACCCTGCTATGATTGGTAAAAGGGAACTGACAACATTTGAAAAAGCTTAAAAACATTTGACAGGCCATCAAGAAATTTAAAATGAACTGCTTCAAGTATAAAAGCTAATAAGGAAAAGCAATTAAATGATCATTCTCTTTTCAATGTGTCTTAACTGGAAAACAGAAAATTGAATGGTGCCAAGTTTTTCTTTGGCTGGGCTCTGCCCAAGTTGGATACGTTGTGAATCAGTTTTATGCATAAGGTGATAATCTTATCTCGTTCTACTAAGAGAAGTGTTGAGCTTCCGAACTTTACCAAACTCTGGCTTCAACAAGGGCAGAAAAATATTGGCATTGAATAAAAACAAGGCAAGAATCCTCCAAAATGATATTTTAATAAATCCTTTAATGCTAGCTAGCAATAATAGTTAAGCCATTATAAAAAAAAGTCCTTAAATTTCAAATAAACATGAAAAGGTGAATGAATGTTTTGCGAAGTTGCATAGAAAATAATCGACTTGATATTATTGTACACATAGAAACTCTGCGATAAACATCAATATAGAAATGAAGTTTAGTTAAAAGTCAATGTTTACACGTTGATTTAGTGGTGCGTATCTTAGATCATTTATAATGGTGTGTGCTTTCTGGTGCCTCACTGTGCAATGGTTTCTTTGTCCATGTAGGCCATATATGACTGGTGTGAATGTTTTGTTAACCTCTGTGTATGTACAATGCCTGCCAAAAGTCCGACATCAGTTTTCAAGATCAAGTTAAGCCATTTCCCTCTCTCTCTGGGAATAACGTTGGTTGACTAAAAACAGCGTAAAAGATTTGAGAGTACATATCTCCTTTTGCGCTACTTGTTTGATATTTTTTTAAAACTACAACATTCTGGGAAGAAGATTATTGGAAGTAGTGACTTTTTGGAAAGAAATGAAAGATATAAAATAAAACGCAAACTGCTGGGTGTTCCAAGTATTTTTGGCAGGCACCGTACATGACAACGTTATTTTATGTAGATGACTTTATCCGCCAGTAACAGGATGTTTCTTCACACATTCATCGAATACAGTCTTGGTCACGTGCTTGGCTGAACAATATAACACGTATCTCGAGTATGGATCAGGTTGGTAATTGACTTGGCGATGTTGAATGTAATTCTGCCAATGCCTGTTTTCGTTAGTTCGATTTACGAAGCTCTCCACTATGTCAGAAATCAGCTTGCCATTTATAAAACTCTTGCCTTCCGGTAAATGACTCATGTATTTATCGCTGAACGAGTAATCAAACAGCCATGTTGGAATTTTCGTCTCTACAATGATAGAAAATATTCTGTTTAAATGAAAATGTTCATGAACCAAAAACCATTTTCAATACAAAAGCCTAATTATTTTTGCAAACGAAAACCAAGAACCAGGGCACATTTTCTACGTCTTTTTTTGCACCTTAGGCCAACTTCAGGCGACTGGCAGCTATTATATTAACTGAAGACTGAAAACACGAACAAGGAATAGCTTCTTTTTTATTGGAAGGGGGCAATACGAGCAGAAAGGATGAGAAAGAACCAAGAGGAACCAAATATATCCAAAAGTGGCTAAAATTGTCATTTAAAAGATTTTGAAGAAGCTTAATAATCCAAGATCAAATGATTCAAAATATGGGCAATATTAAACCCTTTGGCATGCACGTGTCTGTTACTAACACTTAAATTAGCATTAACTTCAACAAAAATTAAGCCCTGAATTGCTTTTACAAACTGGCTTCTCAGTCATTCTCTCGGATGTCGAACTAAAATATTAAAAACTCAAATGGAGATAAAAAATATCAAATCTTCTTTAAAAATTTTGTTGACAGTACAGAATAGAGTGACAGATAAAATGCTTAAGCATGTTTCAAATTTAAATCTCCTCAAAAATGCTATTTTTAAACAAAGTAGAATATGAATGTGATTGACGGTAAAACGAAGAAAATATCTAAAACTTACGAGTTGTCAAAACGAGATCCATGTAGTATTGATGATAGTCAGCCAACATTCGTTTGTTGGTGTCAAAAGAAAATATACGAAAGCCTGGGTTATTGAACATCACTGGTGTAATGCCTGGTGCAGTGAGGAGGAATGAAGATTCACTATCCATGACGTCATCAACTTTATCGTTGAGCAGTTGTAGTCTCATATCGTCAAAGTGCGTGTGCCCATATAGTTGACCTTCAATCAATTCAAGCTTGCAATTAAAGGCAGTGGCATATTTGAAGACAGATTTGGTTGGGTAGGAGTTTTGTGGATGTCACAGATTGGACCCCATCCCCGCTACCCCCTACAGATTTGTGGCAAACCGCTATTTATTATAAAATAATCTAAAGAAAGTTTAAGACCGACAACATCGCAGAGATCTATGCCTTTTAAGTAGATTTGTTTATTCATAGCATCAGTACTTCCCCCCAAAAAATGTAGTCATGGCACTCTAAAGATGAACAAATTACAAAGCTTGAGACAGATCGAGGAAATTTTCAGTTATCTTTCCGAAAGTCTATACGAAGGAAGGCCTACGGAGAATCATAAAAAACCTTTATCATAACACCATAGTTACAGTTAAGCAATTTCAATGTTCTACAAGTGCTGTCTTGCGTTGTGCTAGTGAATCTGAAGCCTTGGGAGGTTTCTCTGCCACATTACATGTTCTTAATTATCCCAATGAAATCCTAAATCTATCAGTTATCAATTTTCATGTCGATGAACTTCTAAAGAATTTCGTGACTTACAGATCTCAAGATCTAAAATTACTCTAATCAAATGAGATATTCTTCTGAATACAATCGATAGCAAAATGACCATTATCACCATGTAATAATGCATTGTTGTATTACTAAAATGAGCAGGCTAATTATCATTGTGTACATCAGCAAGGCTATGTAAATTTTTTCGGATGTTATACTACTTTTCTATGTTAAAACATTTGTACAATGCAACTTCTTCATTTAAGAGAAACTTTACAGAAATTTCACACTTGAAAGAGCAAAGGACAAAAGAAATAAGGGATATGAATGAGTGCATATAAAAATTAATAAGCGGGGGTCCAAATAAGCTCCGGTAGGGTCAGAAAAAATTGAAAAATTAATAAGCGTCCCCCCTTCTATTAAGGCCCTTAGAGTATTCCTTTTAGATAGGACAGATAGGAGAGTTGCGACTATTATGATATAAAATACAACTTATCAATTAAGAAAAAAATGTAAATTAACACTTTCTTACCAATCACGATATCCTTGTACGTCTTTGTTACAAGTTCGATGTACGTATTTGCGTATTTTTTAATCCAATAATTATCCGACTTTACACCACCAAATATCCTGTAAACAGACTGAAGTTTTAATATTTCAATATCTTTAATAAGAGTAAAATAAATAATAAAGCAATAATACAGTAAATTTATAAACAAATTCACAGTTTAACATAAACATCTGTGTTATTATCGCAAAAACAGAGTGTTCATTGGTGTTGGCATAAACCTTGGCATTGGTGTACTTTGTGATGCTAGAAAGAAGGCAATATGGTAGTGCATGAAAATACAGAACAGTCTTTTAATCGTATAAAAAGATAGCTACCACTAAGCACGCCGGTTGCGCAAGAGCCTTTAATTTCAATTCTACTAGAGATTCTTGCTTGTTAATATAGGAATCA